TAAGAAGCTGTTAACTAATTCTGAGCTTAGTTTCTCTAGAAAAATGCTTTTGGTATAAAAACGATCTTCGATTTTCGATGGAAGCGGACCCCAAGTAATTATCGCAGTTCTTACCTACTGCAAGAAATTGTACCAGCAGGTATTAGGGGGATCTGTGCTTAGAGCAGCGAGCATTCACTCGAGCATTTATTTAAAAATTCACTGAATTTTTAAAAAAATTATTAGGAATTACCATAGGACAGTTGTTTGGGCGTAGAAGTCTCTGTTTTAAAACTATGACAACCGTTTTAAAACAGCAATTTCATTTCAAAGGAATAAATGAACAAAATAATGTAAATAAAAGCTAGAGGAATTTATCAGTTGATCATTGAAAATACATTTAGTTTTGTTAAAGCAATGGACTTGGATAAACTTCTATTCTTTTCAAAATTTGAAGAACGATTTGCATAGCGGAAACACATTGCATGCAAAAAAGTTCAATTTATTCTGAAGGCCTATTGCATCTATTAAACACGCACATCTACGCGGCATCCTGTGGGGATCTTCTGCTCAAAAGGTGGATTTCTATTTTAAAAACATTCATGAATTTTTTACTTCACATTGTTTGCTATAACGCACTATTTCTTCCGATAAACATACAGAACAGATTTTAGCCAATTCTAATAAATTTTTTTATCTTCCCGAAAGGATTTTTTGTGTGTGTTTATCCAAAGAGTCAAAGAGAAAGTTGAACCTTAGAAGAATAATATTCGGATTAGGGAAGTTAACGGGTTATCACTTTGGTTCTCTTCACACTTACGGGCTTCATATGAATATGAGCTCAGTGGTGGATTTAAGGGGGCAACTAGGGGCAGTTGCCCCTCCCTCGCTGTGTTGAACCAAGTCTGGCGCCCCTTTTTGGAAATTGTTTGGCAGTGAAAATTTCCTTTAGAAGGTGAATAGTGAGCCTTCTGTCAGCAGTTAAGGTCTGAAATTGTTGTATATAGTGTACTCAAATCACCAATTTCTGAAAATTTTTCAGCGCCCCCAATACCAACTGCCCCTCCTTCAAATTTGTTCTGGATCTGTCCCTTTATGAGCTACATATATTCTGAATCTGATTGCTGAGAGGGTGCACGTGAAAATTGTCCCACCGAAATCATTGGTAAAAATATCTCTCAATGCCAAGAGGCCAAAGTTCTCATAAATCTTCTTTCAGCATCACTAGGGAGAGGGGTCGCATAAAAATCCCCTTTTAAAAAAATTAGGAGCTTTTGACATCTTAGGGTGCTTTGTTGGCAAATTTTCAAAATTGGAGGCAAATAAAGGATAGCTTTTCCCTTTTCTTCGGAAAATGGTACCTGGACACACCCATTGAGCACAATAGCTAGTTACGGCCCTAGACTTTACCAATAAATTGTTTGGTCGCCTTTATTGACTTGCTTTCTTCAGCAAATTACTCCTTTCTGCAATATAATCCTCTTCCAAAGATAACTCATGTAAATATTGCATTTAATTGTAGTCTTGTACAAGAACTTTGTTGTTACAAGACAATTTACTTATTGTGTTATTCTTGGTATAGGGTCTTGAGTTTTTTGTTTACCGTGATAAATGGTGGAAGCAAGAGATGTCTGTGATGTACTGGCACTTTTTTTCTTCTTTATTGCGCCTTCGTTACTTTCCCTTTTATCTAAGAACTTCCAGTGTTTAGTGTGATATAATCAGAAGTGTCGAGAGGAGCGTTGGGAGATGCAAAAGGTTCGATTGGACCCGTGCTTCGATGGGGCCCGTGCTCTGATGGGGAACGTGCATTGATGGGGAACGTGCATTGATGGGGAACGTGCATTGATGGGTCTCGTAACAAACTTACACCATGATACTATCAGAATGTTAAAAGATCTATTTGCAAAGAAGAAAACTAATTCAATCAATGCCTGTAAGTTTATCACAGAGATAAGCAATGTCAAAATGCCTTTGAATCACGAATGCAAATGTTTTGCACAATCTTGTTAAGAATCCTTAAAAAGTCTATTTATTAGTGGTACCTAAAGAGGGCGTTTCCCTAGTTCAGCTGAAGACAGAAGGGCGTCTCACGACAATTTTTTAAGGGGAAGGGGTAGTATCTTGAACAACTTCTGGGCCCAAGCTGGATCTCGATGTCTCTTGATAAAGTGAGTCAAAAGAGATGAAGAAAGTAAGCTACAAATAACAAAAGACTTCCAGGAATAAACGTGTTTATTAAGTAACTGTCTTTATTGTGCATTAATATCCATTACCTTGAAGGCAAATTATAAATGCATTGCAATACATATAAATGTGAAAATTACCAAAACCTACCCTGTCGAAACACACAATTTTGCAAAATCTTTCCATCAACTCAAAGTTCCGAAGGCAACCCACACTAACACACCTGCGAAATGCCATTCTTCGTTTGTTTTCAAAACTTTCACTAGTGCATTTGTTCATAAACAGTCGCAATTCTGTTTTATTCAATCTGGAAGAATTCCCTTTGGAAACCAAACGATCTGTGAAGAAAGCAACAAAAACGTGTGTTAGACTTTCTTCCTAGGATTGCTATGGGAATGGTATATTGAATAAAATAGGATCCCTAGATGGAAAAAACATCCTATGTGCATTAAATGACAAAGGGATTGTATTCTCAACTAAAACATGGTATGCAGTCAAAATTGGTAGTGTTTGACGAAGTGGAATTCAAAACTTGCCGAATCAAATAATTATTTGAATTCAATAAGCTCAATTTAATTTTTTTTCATTTCTATTCTTATAAAATGGTCGTTTCCTTTAGGCTCCCTCAGATTAAACAGTTAACTCTAATACACAATTTATATAGATGAAAACTATTGGCAAATAGAGCATAAATATGTTATAAGACCTAACGAAAGTTAAAAAACCGAACTCTTTATAAATACTTCAACGTATTTTGCGAGGAGTTTATTAAACTTTTTTGTGAAATCATATAATCCAAAGCATTTTTCTTAGCTTGTTTTAAAACAAACTCCCAAAATTAGGTAAGTGTTTATGTTAAGAATAAATGGTACCTCGTAACCTTTTTTGCCCATGAAGAAACTTTTCAGATAAACTATAAACTGACGACAGATACGTGAACCTGGTTGGTGTATCTGCGATATTTGATTCAACCATTTCGGATCCTAAAAATGAAAATAAAGTTTGTTAACTAAAATCAATAATCTCTTATTATCAAACATAAACTAATATGCAGACAATACTCGCTGCTCTTACAATCCTTTTTCAAACAGAGTTTATGAAAACCTCCCTAAATGCAATAATTTGGTACAAAATTGATGCAACCTTGACTCTGAAGCAAAAATCCAATCGGATAGTAAAAAAATGAAAAATTCAGTAGTGCACACGTGCAATAATGATCGGGGGAATTTTACTTACATACACGTGGGCAACAACATTCGAAGCAAGTGACAATTATTCACCCATTACGTAAGGCCCAAGCTCTACACCATCCATTTACGATGTATTTTGCATATGCCTCTTGACATGCTTTCCATTCTGATCTTCGAGAAAGGCCATTAGAACTTTGAAGAGCTGAAAAATCACGTTAGCTGTTAACATCAACAATGTACGTGTAGGCGCGAAAATTGCCAATCACGTGTCTGCTCCTCCGCTATGACCAAGTTGTGATTTCACACCCTGCTAGAATAATGCGAAGAAAAATATTTCTCAATGCCTAGGCTAATTTGTGTAGGAATGAAGTCATTCGACTGTCTGAAATAATTTTGCTCAAGGTTCTGAAAACGACATTAGGCGCCTTACGATTGGTGTTATCTCGTACAGAATCTAGGATTATTCCATATTTGGTACAGTCACATGACATTAATTAGATCAATAAATCCTAGCCTGTGCCCCGTCCACAAATGCTGCCACATTCATTGGCTGTGCAATATTGATAAATATTCTGTCCACAGATTCCACCAGGATCTGGTGGTAATTTATGCAACCCTTCAAAATTATGCAATTAGCTGGAATTGTCAACGGTTCCAACCTTGTAAAACTTCAAACTTCATGCACCATCTTATCTATGTCCTGTTTGGTTTCAGTTAATTTTTTTTCGAATATTTTTCATGCAAAATTTCAATGGTTTCATTGCATAAATTATTTTGATAAACTAGACCCAGCCCTCTGTCTGGACAGAATATTTATCAATATTGCACAGTCCATAAATGTTGCAGAATTTGTGGACTGGGGCACAAGCCATAAATACATTGGACAAGCAAACAAAATATAATGAACCTAAAAATCCGCACCGATTTTCTTCGCATTTTGGGCAAATCTTGTGAACCATGTTTTGGAAAGTGGCGAGTATGGGGGAGGAGGGGGGGGGGGGGCTTTGTTGGATCTCAATACCTTATTCCCTTTCAGACGCAAATGTCACCAGGAAAAAGAAAATAATTAAAAAGATCCTTGTATACATTCCAAATTACTTGAACTTTGAATGCACCTCTTTCATGAACTTTGAAAATCAACATTTTGTTACACACACACTTTCAAAAGTCATTAGATTTTTTTGGGTATTTTTCAGAGGAAATTTTGGCGTTCCGTGATGTTTGGCAGTGATAGTAAGCAATAAGTAAATAAGCAACTAGGCTTAGCGAGAGCCAGGACGAGAGCCACAATGAGAGCCAGGACGGGCGCCACGATCAGAGCCAAGATGAATCATGGAAAGCTCAGGCACGACATGGCTTCTTTTATGAGATGTTATAAGGTAACCCGTCAAATTCGGTTTACTAACGAGAGGAACAACGTAATTTGTAGGACTGAAAAGAAATTAAGCATAGACAGGTCCCTGAATATTTTTTTGTCCTTCAAAAAAATGTTTATCTTAATATAAAATGACGTAAAACAACCCCATCAAAATTTATACCGCCCCTTGAGGGCATCGGGGTCACGTACAGTTCCCCCATCGACCCTTGTCAGTAAAATAGCTCGCAACAATACAATACCAGACATAAAGAACAAAAAACTCACAATAAAAACTCGTTACCCATCTTTTTAAATAATGGCGCAGCTGGAAATGGGCCGTTAAGATACAAAACGAATTTCTACATTTCAATCCTGTTTCAGTTATCGAAACTATAACTTTTGAAAGCATTGCTTAAGGATGCCCAGTCCACCCGAAGAGGGCTAAACGTACAAATGAACAGTTATTACAACACGGTATAATACAGGCAGATACATGTGACATAGAATGCCCTTTTCTTATAAAGAACAGGGGGCTCTGCAAATTATAATAGAGTGGTGAAACATACGAATGACAATATTATTTACTATATTATATCGAACCTAAATATTTTCAATTTTGTAATTTTAGGTGTTACCCTGTTGATTCTAAAATAACAGGCTTTCGTTGGGGAATTAGGAACATCAGGGACCTTGAAGCCTTATACTGACTGGGGGATGAGGTTTTCTCGGAGGGGGTCTCAACATGTCAAAAGCCAAGAAGAGGATAATATTTTCACGATAATAAGTACATTTTGTGGGCTAGAATCTATTTGGGGGCTAGTTTCTCTAGGAACATTGCAAAGGCGTTGAAATTCTACCGAACAGCAATACCCGACAGAAAAAATTTGTCATCTTTTCTTACTTTATTTCAACGAGAAGCCTACCAGATTGTTCAATATTGCTAAAATATTTACTATATGTTATGTGTTTAATGATAAAACATCAGCTAGAACAAAATGGTTTCACAAAACCATCACCAAAGAATAAGCTAGGGGTGATGGCATAGAAAGGGACGGTGTTTTTAGGATGACAATACCCTAATACCCAAAAAAATAACTTAAAGTATATCAAAGCTTTTGTTGAGCGTATAAAACTAAAAAAAATCTTCAGGAATGGCCTGAAAAGTTATTATAAATTAAAGTCACCTGAATCTGAGTCGTAGAAAATGATAATAAAAAATTTTATTAATGGAAAAGACAATTCATAATAAAGAGCTTTGATACAGCGACGTGGAAAGAAAAATTGGGACAGTTGTCACTGGTCTTGGTGCCCTATCAACACCAAAACTTGTCATAGAAATAATATATTTCAATGGCAAGTTATAAACGTAACGTAGTATTTTGAGGACCAAGTATATATAAGCGTATAATAACCCAATAATTTGGGACGTTAATGGACATTTGTGGAATTTTCACAACTTTACATAAACATACGAGCCATCCCTTTCATAGACAAAAAGTTGAAAAAATGTCATAGTCTCGTATTCCCTCTCTTTTCCTGGCGAATTTGGACTATCGATTTAAAAACCTCATGATAGATCTTAAAAAGACTTTAATCCTAAAGAGGATTTTCTGTTTTCATTACATTTCTTGACTATTCTCATTAGACAAGACAAAAAACAAGACAAGGAAAATTTACAACTGTAGAAAAACGTATGCCTGTTTAACAGACACACCCCAGGGAATACTAGCTGTAGTAATCATTGCTCATATCATTCTCTAAATCAGCCATTAAATTCAGAGTCGCTTGTGATAGTTCTTCCGACATGTTATGTTCCGTAGTCCTATCGAAATCGTCCATACCCTCCAGGGCATCAAAGCCAGAAACGCTCGCGTAACTTGAAATCCCAGTGAGATCTATATCATTATCGTAATTATGTTCAACATCATCATCATCATCATCATCTTCCTGCTCATAGTCTTCCACATTTTCTTCCTCCTCCTCCTCTTCCTCTTCATCTTCTTCATTTTCGAAATCTTCTTCTAAATCATCATTGGCTTCTACGTCATCCTCAACATCCTCATCTTCCATGTCTTCAACTTCTCCTCCTTCTTCTTCACCACCATCTTCTTCTTCACCACCGTCTTCTTCTTCACAAACATTAACATCGTATTCATTTTCAGACACCTGTCCATTTGTTGACACCCTCTCATCATCATCTTCATTATCTTCACGACTAAAATTCGTGTCATCTTCCTGCTCCAATTCACCACTACTCCCCTTTTCACTCATCTGGGCCTCGTTCAAGTCAAAAGATTCAACATCAACGGCATCATCATCATCTTGAGCGATGTCTGTCACTACCTCGTCATTTCCAGCAAGCCATGAAGATCCAAGTTCCTCTTCTTCCGATTTCTCTTTCTCTTCATTTGTGTCGTTTGGTGCTAAGGAATCCGGGAAGAGTTGTAGCTTGCCTAAAAAGACAGAGAACAATGTCAGTGCTTATTTTCATAGAAAAACTACAGGCGAAAACCATTCTGATTAACGGGTCAAAGTTGACCAATCAGACTTGGGTGCTTGATTGACAGGCTTAAGTTGACCAATCAGATATCATGAAATAGATATGATCAATCAGATCTGACTAAATAGATAACAGATGGTTTAAATTTGTACAAAATACTACGCAAGACCGAACATATGAGATCTGGTCAATGAATTGGAAATCGGAAGATATCTTTAAATTAACTATAACTACAAATTGACTTGTGAGCCAAGCATACCTTCTTTGGCATCTTCCTTTTCTTTGGCGTACCGAGCTTTTTCGTCAGCAAGAAAGATTCTTTCAAGCATCACCATTTCAGAAGAAGATACTTGCAGCTAAAATTACCAGAAACTTTATGAAATTCCCTTTACAAATAAACTTAATATATCCATTGAAAAAACTGAGAAAATAGAATGACAAAATTTACAAAATTAAAATTATTAAATAATCAATATCTTTTTACATCTGTCTTTTATATCTATATCTGTCCACATATCTCATACTTAACACTTTTTTCAATGAATTTGTTTAAAGAAAATTCTATTAATTGATCACTAGTATCAGAGAGTAGATCACTGGTATTAGTATCATTGGTATATCCACAAAAAATACCCTCTGTCTATACAATATATAATCAGATATAAAAAATAAAATCAGAGGATTGAAATTTCTTGTTTTAACATCAGAAAAAATAGAAATCTCAACATCCCAAAACTTAAGCTTGAGAATACAAAAAAAGGATTCCACTTCTCTGGGCTTAAAGCTTAGAACTACGAAATACCCATAGAACTAAGGGAGATCCCCTCGCTCAATCAATTCAAACGAAAATTAAAAGCTCATTTGAAGAGCTCAGAAAGCCCGAACTAAAACACCACTCCCAGGAAGATCAGACGTCAAATTCAATTCAAACATATTATTAAATAATTTTTTAAAATTTTGTCTTCCATTATTAGTTTTTTTAGCTTATAAGAACTTGTATTTAGGTTTCTGATGGGATATCGTGTTGAAATAAGAATTTAAAAAAAAAAATGAAAAATATATATTAATTTTACATAGATCCTCAAGAAAGGTGCTTATTATTTTGCCAAAACTTCAAAAATCGCATCACTTTACCTGGCTTTCTTCTAGCATCAGAGAATGGTACTTGTCAAAGAGCTTCTCTTTTCTCGTCAAAAGTTGCTTTGATACAAGCCCGAAGAGTGCTTCCGCTGAAATGGAGAATCGACATTTCTAAAACGCCTTCTTCAGCAAATTGAAGCATCTCAGAAACAACTTCGAACACATACGTGACAACATCTGGTGCAGCATTTAGTGCTACAACGGGGCCTTTTTGTGGTTATGTCAATATTTTAGGAACTTTTCTGAAACTTTAAAGGACATATCAGTCCCAGCACCCTTTGCAGGCAGATCATTGCTATTTGCTAATGATTTTAGGGCTGCTTACTGTGACCTGGAGCTTGAAAGATTATTCATTGTAAATTTGTGTCAAGGCAGCTCGAGAACTGTTTGGGCAACAACAAAGCGTGAATAGGAATGGGAGCAGAAAAGAAATCTGTTAATGTAAAATGGACAAGAAGAGAAGGATTAAGAAGAAAGATAACCGAAAAAGGGAAACGGGAAGGTACTGAGGCAAATAAATCCTGTATGAATATTACATCTCTTTTCTACAGTCAACTTCAAGTTTGCTTTTAAAGATATCAATCAATAATTAAGAGAAATGGTTGCCAGTGCGTGTATAGTGAAAATACAAAATTGAACTTTTTAATCATAAAATGTCTTGGGAATTTTTCCTAAGTTATAGCATAATTTGGCATGGCCTGTACAACGTCATGCATATTAAACATAACATAAAATCTAAATATTCTGCAAAAAACAGCAACAACTCACCTTTCTGCCATTCGATTTCAGGAGGTACTGTCTCGCAGTGAAGGTGATAAGGCAGCAGTCGAGAAAGCGCATCCTCGACTGATTTGAAAGGTAACTTGTAATTAGGGTCCAGAACTCGATTTTGATCCGCCTGCAGACAATGCTTTAACCTGGAAAAGAAAACAGTAACATAAATGGACAAGATAACTAAACAAAAGGGATATAATTTTCATAATGCAATCTCTTTTTGCTTCATGTTCAACTTTATTGGTGTATGAATTATTTCATAACTAACATAAAATTGTATCATTATCTTCATTATTAGAGCGGGAGTGAGCTATTAGAACTGGGCGAATTATTAGCAATTGTGAAAACTATTGGCAGCATGAAATTTGTTATACGCACACTAAGGCAAACTAATGACACTAGAAAGTGTGACAGGCCATCGACCCACTTATTAATAACTTTTCTCTTTGCTTTCGTACCTATATCTTCTGGGTGTACATAGGCAAAGTCTACCTCATGCAACGAAGGCTCGAACACATAACTACAATCCCGGACAAAATTGTTGAGACAAAATGCAATTTCTGCAATTTTCTACTTTATGTCGCCCCTATAAATTCGAATCCCCCCTTTCCCCCCGAATCAATGTTGGATTTGTAGTTCTATCATTTCTCCTTCAAAACCGTGCATTCAACATTGAATTGGGGGAGGGGGAAAAGTTATTTTTTAAAGGAAAGTGAAAATATAAGCTTTCTTTGAAAAGTCTCAACCATTTTTGTCCGGGATTGTAGATAAAATTCCTTTATTCTCAACATAATACTCATGACCTGCTCTAACATAACTTATGAACAAACTAACTACTATCAAACTAACGGAATTCATACAGAACTTTAACAGCAAGCAATTATAAAGCTTTGTGCCTTCAACAATTTACAGCATAGCGTTGGATTACAGTTGTCATTCTTCGAAAATCATCAGACTAATGGGAAGAGAATGGGAAGACGGGGAGAGAAGAGAAGGGGAGAGAAGAGAAGGGGAGAGAAGAGGAGGGGAGAGCAGGGGAGAGAAGAGAAGGGGAGAGAAGAGAAGGGGAGAGAAGAGAAGGGGAGAGAAGAGAAGGGGAGAGAAGAGAAGGGGAGAGAAGGAGAGAAAAGGTGAGAGAAGGGGAGAAAAGGAGAGAGAAGGGGGGAGAAGGTGAGAGAAAGAAAGACAAGGGGAGACAAGGGGAGAGAAGGGGTAGAAGTAGTAATATTTGGAAAAGAAATGAACGGTATGTTAATTACAACACCACTTGCTAGGTATTCAAAGCAATTTTTGCAGGCGTTGTAGTTTGAAGAAAATATTCAATCGGTAGCTGTCACCATTGTTTTGAAAGCTGATATTCTGATACCTTCTGTAAACGACTTTGATTATTCTATAGTCTAATGCATACACCCCATTTCAAAACTCTATTTCCAATCAAAATGATGGCACATCATTCGGCTTACCTTTTCGACACTTTCGGTTCGCTTGTATCTTCGACCTTTACTTCTTCAGGTGGCGGTCTTTTGATGGACTTGGTTTCCTTTAGGATAAAAGTTTACAAATTGCATCATTAAAATAAAATGATCAGTCTTGAAACAAGCAGAAAATAGACCAAGATATACACATTACACAACCGAATACTTTTTCCATATTGCTTACAACTAATTTGGGTGACAGGGTGCTAGTTTTACAGTATGTTTAAACGTCTTATAGTTGCTATCATTTAATAGAGACTTAAACATGAATAGGCCGTTATTTCTTTATCATTGTTCATACAGTCATGACAGGAGCCGAAGCAAGAGTAATACAATAAACGATAACTGGTGTTCATAACAAAGTAAACATGCGCAAATTTTTTTATAGTAATGGTTCTTAGTTTTATGCCAAACAAGACAAGTGTTACTTTCACGCAAAAAAATTGCAGAACACAAATCAAGCTGTGAATTGTTCTGGTATTTTGAATTCCCGTAGATGTATTATTGATGATGAAGGACTGTAGCAAAGATTTGAACATCCCTATTAAGAATGCGTTAAGAATAATTAAGGCTCGGAATTTCACAACTTTTGAAGAATGTCGAGGCATAAGAAAAATTAAATAACTCCTATAAAAAATATTAAATAACTTATAAAAAAAAATGTTTACTCAGAGTTTCATTTTTAATGCTTTTATCTGGCATAAAATACCAAGTTCGAGAAGAAAAAGAAGAATAAAAGAAATTTGCTTACTAGTTTCAGACTTTCCGTTTCCTGTTTGACTTGAACAATGAGCTTCATAAGCGGCACCGCTTGACCCTTACTGACAAATTCCTGTTGCTTTTTCACGAGCAAATTCCTCTGCGAAGGAGTCAGTTGAAGAAGTAACTGTTGCAGTTTCTTCGTTTGAATTGCTTTTTGCTGATCGGAAATAACCTTACCCGCCGAAACATCTAGTGGTTTAACAACGATATTTGGCGCTGCAGCACCCTGTATCCTAACACCTTGCGCTGCGTTCGATTTTTGCAAAATCTGTTGTTGTAACTGCACTTGCTTTACGATGTTCGCGCTGACATTTGCTGTCGTTGATGTCGTAAATATCGGCAGATTAATTCGTTGTGCTCCGCTGCTACCCGAGATAACACCAATTTGTGACTGTTGACTATTATCGGCAGCACCTTTAGCAACGTTTGTTTGCAAAAAGAACTGCATGCCTTGAGTTGCTATAGGCATTACGAACTGATTTACGCTGCTCTGTTGCGACGTTGTTAATAGTGTGCCAGTTGGAATTTGCTTTAGCGTAACCGTTTGCATGTTCGACGTAGATGGTAGTGTTGACAATGAGACACTGGTAGCGCCAACACTGGTTTCGCCTTGCGATGAAATAGGTTTCGGCTGAACAGCCTGCATCTTCTGCATGATCTTGCCTGCTAGAAGCTTCTGCTGCAATTCAAGGAGCTGAGACGTTGACAATTGTTTTGGCATGAATAGCTGTACGGGTGAACCTTCTTGGGATATCGCTGCAGGGGCCTGAGGACTTGCTCGGCCCTGGTTAGCATTTCCTTGTTTGCTTGCATTTTGCCGACTGATAATGTTCTGAACACTTTGCCCAATGATACTTGCTCGAATGTTTTCCGCTGCCTGCTGCTGTTGCTTTGGCAACAAGGAGCCATCATTGGCAGCCTTTAAGACTTGCTGCATTAGCTGATGTTGCGTCAATCCCCTACCCCCGGAATTTAGGGCTGCACTTTGGTTTGTGAGGACAACATTTTGCGGAAGAGAGGCCTGGTTTTGCTTACCTGAAAGTATTTGTACACCATTATTTTGCAGCTGAACGCTCAAAATCTGGCCCTGTTCATTGGCATTCTGTGAAGTTGCGCTAGCTTGTTGTCCAATACCAATATTAAGTGCCTGTAGACCAGCATTTTGAAGCTGTTGTTGTGTTGGCAACATTTGTTCTTTAGCAGTGGTATCAATAGCATCGGCAGTAGATTGGGCAGCAGCCTGACTTAAACGAAACAACTGTTGCAATGCTATGCTTTGATTTGTAACAGTGGGACCATTGGTCTGTGTGCCACTTGCACCGGTTGATGCACTGTTTGCTAGGACAACGTTGGAATTTGCGAAAGAAAAACCAACATTGGTGGCGCCCAACGAAGAGACAGAAATATTTGCACCAGCCTGTTGCATAGAGGATTCTGCATTTGCTTGCTGTGTTACCATACTCTCAAGACTCTTTAATTGATTATGTTGGGTGGGAAAGTGTGACAGTTTTAAAGTCTGTGCATTTCCAGTGCTTGCAAAAACAGTTTTATCATTGGCCTGATTTCCTGATGGTATTGACGTCATGTTTGTTGTAGATTTTGAAAAAACGTTTTTAGGCTGGGCTGCTGGCCTTACAATTTTTAACAAGTCAGTGCTGGTCCCTGAAGAAGCAGTTTGACTTTGATAAATACTTGCCGTCATGTTGGCCTGTGTCAGCCCCTTTCCCTGGGGTTGAGGCTGTACAACATGGCTAATCGTGGCATTAGGTGACTGAGTTCTCCCGGCTGATACATTCGCAGCAGATGGCTTTCCTTTGATTTGTGTTTGGTTAACACGAGCTCTAATTGGTGCAAGCTTCCTTTGCTGCTGCACTGTTGTTGCTTGTGGCTGGTTTTCTATAATATCTGTGACTTGTGATAAGGTACTTGTAACCACTGTCCCACCTTGACTGCTCAAGAGCTGCTGCATATTTGCTGGCAAAACTAAACGCTGTTGATTTTGCTGTTGATTATACTGCAACACAGTCTGTTTGTTTTGCTGCTGCATTTGTTGTTCCAGTTGCTGCTGTTGCAATTGTTGTTGTTGCTGTAAATGTTGTTGCTGCTGTAATTGTTGTTGTTGTTGCAACTGCTGCAGCTTCAATTGTTGTTGCTGCTGTTGCTTTAACTGCTGCTGTTGGAGCTGTTGCTGTTGAAGCTGCTGTAACTGTTGTTGCTGTAAGCTTTGATTCACATTTTGAGTCATGGCTAGAGCCTGTGCCTGCTGGCCTGTGCTGTTAACAAATACGTAATTTCCATTCATATTTGTTTGAAAAATCATTGCTTGGGTAGTAGCCTGGTTAGAGGCAGTAGAGATCCCTTTAGAAAGAATATTTGGCATCCCCTTTTCCGGTTTGCTTGCTATGCTTTGTGAATAGACTTTGCTTGTCCTTAGACTATTAGGGCTGCTTTGAAATGAAACCTGCTGTCCATTAGTTAGCACTTGACAAGAAGATGAAACAGCCTGAACAGAAATTGGGTTTATGCTGCTACCAGGCAGTGTGTTGTACACACTATTGACAGTTCTTAGCACTGTCCCTTGGTTTTGAATTGAGCTGTGGCCTTGCAAAGTTTGTATAGTTTTCTTAACAGGGTTATCTTGTGTTGGTGGTGTCTGTCTATGGTGTACAGAGGTTGTACTGAGGGTTGGTGTTGAGGCCAAGTGTGGTAATACAATATTTGCTTGGTTGAAGGAACTGCTTGTGTTTACTAATGATAACAAGTTTGTATCACCACTAGACTGACCCTGTTGCTGTAATATGGATGCTTGATTCAATTGACTGGCCAGAAGCTGCAAAAAAGTAAAAAAGCTAAATCTATGGCCAGAAGCTGGAAAAGGCAATTAATTGCCAGTGCAATGAGGCATCATCATCCCAAAAATTCTGCGTTGAATAATTCTAAAGGTGCTGTGGCAAAAAAAATGACAGAGAAAACATAATCTCATTGCCTCGGCAGAAATAAAATATTTTCTTACAAAAATCCAATCAGATGCATATTTCATAGGTACTGTCCTGTTCTATATACCAAATAGCATAAAATTATTAATACATGCAAAACCTCTCTTAAATACCTAATGACTTGTTTTGTGATCTCTTATTTTGAGGGTAATTGGAATCAGATTGAATTTAACAACTTCATATCATGTATTTAAGCAAAATATCTAGTACCTTTTTACATAACCTTACAATACTTTTAAAATATATTGGAATATATTCAAAGACTCAAGATTAACAATACCCCTGTTTGGAACAGTTAAATATCAAATGAAGAGTTGGGCAAGTTGTCTTACTCTAAAATACAATACTTTAAAACTGTAACTGTTAGATTTTATGAATATAAATATAACATGTTAAATCAACTTTATCTTGTGGAAAATACAAGCTAAAATATAAATGGATGATAAACAAACTAACCTGTGCATTGCTGAGAAATTCATTCAAAGCCTGTGGGTCACTGAAAAAAAACAATTGTGATTGGTTTTTGCATGAAAAATTTGAAAAATTCATAGCTTCAGTCAAAGAGAATAATAATGTCTGAATTATGTACTTCATGATGTAAGGTTATATGTGTAGAGAAACACAGTTATTTGCTTAAATCTAGATTTCACAACTAGTGGAAAAGTTAATAGATTAAGACTTTGGGAACCACAGCTTGATGAAAAAATTTACAGTAAGTACCATGACAAAAAAGACAAGTTTTTAACAATGGAAGGCATTGAGCTTCTTTCTATATTTCTGCTTCATTTTTTGCTTTCATTGCCTAGGCCAAAATTTGAGCAGCAAGGGATGCATTATAGCAATTTCAACATTAGAATTGAATTTAGATTGGAAAAATGTATCTTTTAGACTTAAGTTACTTGTTGACCTTAAGAAGCACATCAGAAATGTGTCCCCATTTGTGATGCTACCTTAGTTCACAGAAATTCTTCTAACCGAATTTTAAGCTTGTTTTCTTCAATTTCATTCGTATTTTAATCAAAATACATATATTCAAGATATATGCTTTAATAAATTGGAATAACTGTGTAAATGAACAGGCAGGGACAGAGCATGGTGATGCTAATGTATGTCTGCATACATTAGGGACAGAGTGTGTCTACAGACTTTGAAAATGAGGAATACATTCTGTTTGCTAAGTGAATCCTCTGGCATGTACACTCCCCTCACGAAAGTATCCGAACAGTTTCGAATTCAGTTGCGAATCTGTTATTAGAGAAATTTGCTTACAAATTTCAAAGTCAGTCTTCATGAAAACTTTTTTATCAATTTCCTCGAATTTTTTCTTGAAGTTTTTTGGCCTTTGATCTATTTATTTGTCAAAAAAAATAATCTTATCAATATGCAAGCAAACTCTGTGAGGGTTTTTCCTCAAGATGGTAGCGCACCGAAACAAAAGAATTGACTTTTGAGCAATGTCTAGAAATAATTAATCATAATGATGGGAAAAAGCTATGATTAAACTGTTAGACCATTGGATGCCCAAAGACTACCGATTTCGAGATATGCAAAGAGATTTGAAAAACAAGAAGTCTAAAAAATTTTTCACTGTCAAAAAGAGCAAGGGCTCTCAAGACACCAACGTCTGAGCGTTCCGCTCTAATCAAATTTTCATCAAAACTGGTTTGCATCGTTAGGCAAAACTGCATTAAATGTTTATAAACAATTAAACTTTTAAAAGCTGTTGATTAATAATGCAGGGAAAACGATAAAGAATTGTGAATGTTTCCTTGTACCGACCGACTTTGGCAAAACTTGCAGCGGTAAAGAAATAATATGGCTTTATGGCCCTGCACTGAATGATATGTCTGCTTTCCAAGAAAATTTTTGATCTGATAAAATGTTACCAAATGTCATCTATGTTTTATAATCGATCAGTGGCAGCTCCATGCAAACATTTTTCCCAACTGAAAGTAAACACATTGTACTTCTCTTTATTCGAAAATATTTATGTCTCAAGAACCAGTTTGTAAAAAATTACCATGTTTTATTGGCCGATTTTAACTAACGAGTCCAAGTCACCTGACTTTGCTATTCTCCACTTATTTGAAATCAGTTGATTTGTGTAAGGCTTGTAGCACAAAGGTTTCTCATTTTAACAAAAAAATATAACAGATAAAAAGCGCAGAAGTTTTGCATCATTTGAATGTTTTGGTTTATTTTGGAAGGGTTTCTCAAAAAATCATTATCACAAAGTTAAAAAGTCGTTTTCTCTAGCCTAAATTTGTTTTTGTCAGAAAGCGCAATCGATCTTCGAACTGTTTGGGTACTTTCGTGAGGGGAGTGTATTTGAAGCTGAATTCTGACATTGTTATTAACAAAATGAATTCATTTTTGTTTCTACTATACTCTATATTAAAAACAATCATGAAAACATGCGTTATTCATTGTGTCAAAGATTTTTAAAGCTGTATGACTTTTCTGTTAGAAGAAAAAAAACTGTTTGCCCAGAATTTACCAGCGAAACATGAATCAAACTTTAAATTAAACTCAAAATACTTTTTTCAAACTTTTCCAGCCTTATATTAGGGATGCAGCTTATATACAGATATATAAGATATATATTTTTACTTACACAATAAATTGACTATCTGGTAACAGTATTTTCCCCCTTTGTACTGACATTGTTGCTGTGAACTAGATGTTCTTAGTGTCGTAATTCTTTAAAAATATTAGATTGTTCTTCAATTCTATTTTGTTAAAACTTGAGAATAATTTAAGTACTTTTGTCTTAACTCCATAGGTAGATTTTGGCTTGAAATTCTTGGACAAAAAATGACTAAAACTTTAAACTGGTATATACACAATAGGTTGTTATTGAGTTCTGGTTGTCAAGGCATGAGAGCTTTAAGAGGTTCAGGACACTTAACAACATAACAAAGGATTAATACTTATTGATCGTTGTTTATTATTTTGTAGCTTCTGTATATTTGGGTGGGGTTCTTACAATTACGAGTCCCCAAGTATTTTTGCCTACAAGATTCATAATGCGAGCTCCTTTTCGGAAATTTTTCGTATATCAAAAAGCAAATTTTACACATCAGAGCGTGTAACAAACTCAAAATTCTTTTTTGATTCGAGCAAACACGTGGAGAATTCAATGGAAAGCAAAACATCCGGGATCTTAAATGACGTCATGATGGGCGATTATGCAAAATATGCGCCCACAGAATCACCGAATCGCTGGCTTCGGTTTCAAAGAAATAAACACCGAACTGGAGCGATTTCATTGCAGAAGTAGTTAGCAAGGACCTCAGGAAGGTTGCTGCGTTTCAAAGCACCATAAAAGAGCCCACGGAAAGTTGGAACAGTATCTAAACTAAACGAAAAAAAATTTAGGCCAACGCAGAATCTACTGAAAGCCGCCATCGGGTCAGCGGCGAGTTGTAAATTTTGATGAAATAAAATAGCTTTTACCTGAAATTTTCCGCAAAATTTTTTTCCATATCACTTCCCCATGGCTCTGACTGTTCGATGCCTCACGTGCCAGGGCGCTCTTCTCATTTTCTGCACCGATTTTAAAGCACAATATTTGGAACACAGAATCCTGTCCTTCTTCTAACGTCATGTACTTTGTGTTGCATACACAATAGAAGATCTTTGGGGATCTCGAGTTTCAGGAAAGGGCACTTTTAAAAATGCAGACTTTCATTGTTAGGTTTGAATAAATTATGTCGAAAATATTTAGCTATGTTGTCATAATTATTTTTCATGTGATCAAGTAAAGCTCCCTCGCACGGAAAGTTAATTATTGGACACTGCGAGGATAAAGGTGCTACTTCTTTGCCAGTGTAGAAAGCCCGGGGGTAACTTCCACATACACTTGTACGGGATGTGCCAATTTTCGCAGTATTTTCAAGTAGAAAATAAATCTTGGGGTATCGATTTTGGTATTTACATGAATTCAGAATTCAGAATTTTTCATTTTCTATCAAAGGCTTAGTTACAAATAACTTTTGTATACTTCAAGCAGTTACAAACTGGTAATGACAGAAGTTACAAACAGAGCAAAACGAAGACAACAAAATAATTTACTAGAATACGTGTAAATATGGTATAATCAAACATGAAGTTTGGCAAACTTGAATAAAATTGGTATATTCATTTCATTTCATTTCATTGGTATATGAATATGAAATGGTATGCACTTCATATTTTATCGAAATTTTGGGGTTGTGTTTTTGGAAAATTTGTAAATTTTAGGGCATTTTCATATCTCTTTTCTGTATGGCACATCCCCGTACTTTGCATATTGAAGTTACCCCAGGGGTGGAAGGAGGATTTATGTTCAATTGATTGTGATTTTTTCCATTGTTTAAGATCACATTATTTTTTGCATTGAAAAATTTCAAAGCAGCACAAAAGCAAACTTTGCCAAGTGATAAGAGGGGGAGGGAGCTGCATATGGGTGCGAGGGCTGCTTGACAGCATCGATCAGGCAGTGTAGATAATAGAGGGACCTTCTACCAAAATTAGATATTTAATTAAAGAGTCCTTTTAAAAATCATGCAAATCAGAACTAGATACGAAGATTTGGTCACATTTTGTGATAATTTATAGTTTCTGCTTTGAAGGGACAGGATGAGGCAGGGGATCTCTTTCGATTAGTTAACTTGTTTCGAGGTCTTCCTTACTTTTGATATGTTACAGGCTGTTGCGCAACCGGCATGCTTTGCGACTATATTATCAAATAACAAATACGATCAATTTCAGCTGCTGCTAAGCATGCCAGTTGCGCAAGAGCCTTTAATTACATCAATAGAGTCCTGTTTTGAATACTTATTAGAATTACAATGCTAGAATTGTTTGATATTTTGTAGTATTGTGATGTAGAAGAATTGGTAATGTAAAAGTGTAGTGAAATTGTAAATCGATGAAGAAATAAATCAATGAAACTTAAGTTCTATGTAATAAAAGCCACTGCAAAAACATTTCTGAAACCAACAGAAATCTTAAACCTTCCGAAACGAGGCATGCCTCGTTTGTGACTGCCTTTTCATAAAGGTTCTTTTGTGTGGAAGGGGCATTGATCTTTGGTGGAAAAATAAAATAAAACGAGGGCCAATTTGAGACTACGGATAATGGAAAATACTGCATAGTTAGGGAGTTTACTCTTTTAAATAGTTAAAAGAAGGTAAAAGTTTTATTTTTTGCTATTTTTTATAAAAGTTTTGGTAAAAGTTTTATTATAGTTTCGACCATCGTAGCAACCTGTCAGAGAGACAGTAAAAGAGAAAAACTCAAATTTCATCAAAACAACTTCAGCATCATCACACTACATGAAGCTCAAAAAAATATATTTATGGAGTACAAAATATCCAATATTCGAATAAATGTTCTGAACTAATATCTGTTTGTAATAATTCGAATTACGCAAAAAATGAGATTGAAAACGAAAAATGCATGACATTACAAAACAAACTCGAGGACTTAGCATTAAGCAAAGTAAGCTTACAGAAAAATACTGAACTCAGTTATTGCTGTTTAATCAGAAAACTACAAAGAGATTCAACTGCATTGATATAGTGCTAAAGGGCTTTGGGGCCGAGCCTCATTTGATAATGCCGGAAACTGACCAATATATATTCATTGAAATTTTTTTTTATATAATTTTTACGTAAGCCCCCTCCCCCCCCCCTGATCTTTGGTAGCATTATACCCTCAGACAACTATGCTCGTAGCTAAAATGGTTTTAAGGCATTGGAGTTAAGCAACATTCGATTGAACAAACTAAGACATATTACATGGACAAAATGGACGGCTGGTTCCACAAAATGGACGACAGCCGAATGATGGCTTTGAAATATCAAACAAGCATTAGTTTCAATCTTTAAAATAAATGTAGCACAGATACTGTACATTAGCATATCTGCTATGAAGTCAATCTCCACAAGGACATCCTGTAACTAGAAAATGCTTCCTTGAAAAGTGATTAATCACTCTGGCGTACTTCTAATACTTGTCTGATAACCACTGTTCCATTTTGCTTAGAGTGAGGAACGTAAATACGAATAACGAATGTGTTATGACGAGGTGAGTTAATCTAAAGCAATTAGGATATGTTCATTATACTAGTCATTGATTAGAAATGCGAAAGCAGGATCGTTTTGTGCAAAATTGAAATGCTTCGAGATTCTTTGGTCAAGATCAGAATTTTGTCACGATCAATGCAAGGTTGGAAAACGTTTACTGGAAAGGCATAGAAACATAATTTGAGATAGGATGAGGAGACCTTAATCAATTACGATATAAAGAAAAGTCAACTGGATAAACTTTGCGTTTAGTAAAGTGTTATGATTCAATCAGATAATAGAAAAACATTCTAAAGTAAAAATCATTGTTATTTATAAACCTCATTTCCTGAAATAAGAAAAAACTGCGAATGATGCACCAAAAACAAGAAAGATGTAGAACCAAAAAAATATTCGGTCAATGTAGTAACCAATCACTTCCCATTGCTTCTTATGATCACACTCTTCCTGTGTGTGCGCATTCGAAGGAGCCTCTTTTACAGGTTTCTTAGCCTCTCTTCTATGAACATTGCGATTGTCTAAATCATTGATACATTTGCCGTTTTCCTCATCACCGTCTTTGATGTCTTCTAATTCTATGTTCACAATTTCTTTTGAGGATTTTCTAACTGAATCGGTGTCAAAGACGCCAAGCTTGCTTGATTTGTTGCTTGTGATCCTGAGAGCGAGGCTGCGTAACCAACTTGGAGGCTTGGTGAATTTGTATGCAATGCTTGTGGTTATGATTCCAGTTACACAACCAAAGGTCACAACATAAAACAAAATAACATACAGAACTCCAACCAAGGGAGCACTGTCCCCTTTCCTGGGTAGATCCTGTGATATCACCATCAAATACACGCCCATTGTTAGCAAAATTGTCACTGCAAAGCCTACCCTCTCTCCTGTTTCTGCCGGTATCTGGAAAATCAAAATTGACAGGAAAACGACAGCCATCATTGGTAAGATGAGGTAAAGGAGAAAATAAAGTGGCTTTCGCTTTAACTCGATTCTGTAAACGACTTGTGAAAAGGAGTAGTCGCAACAACCACTTTTGTGTTCGCTCGTTTCTGCTGACATCTTTTCAATGCTCCATTCACCATGGGTAATTTCTTTGCCTTCTAGAACTAAAACAGAATTCTTATTAAGCAATCTAAACATAAACACCTCGTGGTTCAGGGGCCTTCACAATGCCTGATTGAAGGGGGAGAATAGAATAATTAGTACAACCATTCATAGGTAAATATTCCGCGGAGCGCCCAGGCTAACCAAAGGAAATTGAAGCCCTTTCTCCAACTGTTTGAAAAGAAAACCCTCAATAAATTGTAACTCATCTGAAAATATCTACGAACAGCTGATAGGAATATGCTTAAGGGGCACTTCCACGCTACCTCCCCGTGATTTACCTCATGATCCGTAAGGGGATTGTTTCGCAGAAGGGACATAGCAAATTCGTCTGTAGGGTAATTTTTCGTTTTCTGTACATAGCAAAAGCTCTTCGCTTCTGTATGTTACCTGATGTAGCAAAACCATAATAAAGATCAATAACAGATCATTAGAAAGAAATATACTTACTTGAAGGATGTTGTAAAGCGAGCTGCAAACGACGTTTTGTATATGATTTAGAAGCGAATATCAAACGACAGTGCTGAAAGAGACAGAATTATCTTCAGTATGAGACATTCTTGTTTAGTTAAATTTACAAAGATGTTGTATTGTTTTTGGCCTACTAATTCAATTCATTCTGGTACGGAAAGAGGGAAACGATACATTAGCGTATCCACGAGCATGATGAAAAAGACCTGGTCCCGGGCCTCGAAACGAGAGGAAAAAATTACGTGTGCGAAAAGGTGGGAAGGAGGCAGGAGGACAAGAACGAGAAAGAAAGAAAGGCGTACCCAGTGCAGGACAAATAAGTAAAGTAGAATTCGAATATGACCATAATGAACATCTAATCTCGTTATGTTTCAAATAAAATATTAAAACTTTCAGCATTCTTATTGACTCTGGAATGAAAATGGACCCTGAGAGAAGAGGTACATATCACTTGGCATCAATTGTCAGCTTTGAAGAGGAAAGGGACGGGAAGCAGAGTTGAAAAGGGGAAATGGCTTAGAAAAAGAAAAAGCGAAAAGAACTATAATAGAGGAACTTTGGCTTTGGCTTGGAGGGAAATTATGGGAGTTTACCATGAAGAAATTGGGCCCAACAAGGAACGCAGAGGTTGGGACAGGAGGATGATAGCATCCCCAAGTTTTTCTCAATCATACACTGAATCATCTTGCCTTTGGTTACTTACCATAATGAAAATAATTAAGCTCCCCTTGTAACTAGTACGTTCCACGTCCTCAGTGCCCTTCATTCCTGAAACCATGACGAAAGAAGTAAAGCTAACTCACCTGTTCATCTATTGGAAACCATACAATATTTATTGCACAGGAGCTCTTCCACACTACAGTTGAAAACCAGACCAGAGTTCCATTGCTGTATACATGCACAGGCGTACGATAGATATCAGATGGAGCTTTGGAGCTATCATCAGCCCTACACGAATCAGAATAAACGTCAGTAAAATATGATTTAAATATCAAACGGCAAAAATGCAATTGAAGAATGTCCTACCTAAATCATGCACAGAAAATACACAGATATTCAGTGTTGACCGCAAACAAAAATATTCAACAAAGTAAAAGACACGATTTAAATGGCATTGTTTTGTTAGCAATAATGATTAGTCCGTTTGACTGGCATCCTTGGTAATAGAAGCATCTGTACCTAATGAAAAGATATGTTCGAAACGTTGAAATTGCATTTTAAATTTCAAATGTAGAAAGTCTTTATTCAATTATTCTAATTTTTGGTAGATAACCATCGACATACAGCACGCTAAACACCAATGACATCATAAAGAAGCTTTTTGACGTACGTATTGTAAAGAAGAACATCAGGAGTCCATATATCTCCATTTGCAAGATTAATCAAATCAACACCATTGAAGTTCTTTGGATTCCATTTCAGACGATGATCGGTCCATCGCTACAAAAATAGAAATTATAATCAACATACTAATATATTCTATTAACACCATCATGACCACTTATTATGTACAACATTTAACACTTATTTACAATAGATATACAAGTATGTTTAAAAATAAAATTAGTTACATAAAGTGTAACTGGATGTAATGAAAATGCTTGTGTTCAAATCAAAAGCAAGTTGATTATGAAAATCATTAAATACAAATTTAAATACAGAAGTCGCCTATACAGAGGTTTGTAATGTTTACATAATTAGTATCCCGTATGTATATTAAGTCCCGTATGTAATCCGCCCATGAAATCTCGCACAGACGTGTTTTGTTATTTAATTCAATTCTTATGTATGGAGTTCATATACAGTTGGTATTTTAGTAACTATCTAATCATGGACATTTCTCTATGATTAGCTCCTAAAACATTTTAAGGTTGGAAGCACAAGTAAAAGATTTGAGCAAAAATGGCAATGCCAAACTTTATTAGGAGCTTGTCTAAAATAAAAACTGTACAAGAAAAAGCTTCGGCAAAACATGTAAACAGAAAAGAGTCATAGGTTAATAAACATACTGAAAAAAGGAGATATTGCCTAAAACCAGCACCTTCTGCGCAACTGCCGAAAACCAGTATCACATACCCACCTGTGAGACTGCCTAAAATTAACCCAAATCTGAGTTAATTAGGTAGCTGCTGCTCCAAAATGGTTAACATGTTGTAGCATTATTGTTACTTTATAATTATTACCATTATGATCATTATTTGCTTTTTACTCACCATGACAATCGAAGTATGAGTCACTAAAACTTCGTCAGTTATGCTCTAAAGAAAAATTAAAAAATGTGTCAGAATTCATCTGCAAGGAAATTTCTTGCATTGAAATTTTGTAAACTTTCGGAGAACAGGTTATGTTCGTGTTGTCTTGCCTGAGTTTTTATATCTAAGAAAATAGAAAAAAACAATAAAACATAAAATGAGATTATTCCTTGCACAGATTATTTTTCTGAGATTCTTTTGCCCGAAAACGCGTCCAAAAGCTTTTTGTCTGAAATTGCTTGTCCAAAACTTTTCTGCCAAAAATTTACAATTTCAGCGTATCTATTTTACAAAATTCCTTTTTTCTGAAGATTTTGCATAATCTTCCAATAACACCGAGTACCGAATTGTGTCGTCATCAAAATTCTATTTTTAGAATTTCTTAAAATTGGCCACATAATCTGAAAGAGCAGCATAAAATACCTCTCAATATGCAAAATTTGTTAGATATGTTCCAAATCGGGCGAGATATGGCCAATGAAAGATTTCAAGTTTGCTAACGGATTGCTGTTATTCTGGCCTGGTTTATAAAGTTATGAATAAAGATCAAATTATAGAGGTTTGATGGGGCAAGATTCTATGCTCATGTGGCCATATCTCAGCCAATTCGTAATACCTTTAACTTATTTTGCATATCTAGAGGAATTTCATGATGCTCTTTCATGTTCTGGGATCAAAATTCATAAATTCTAAAAATAGATCTTTGTGACGTCATCACTTCGGTAATCTATACACACTGTAAAGAAGGCATGGTGTAATTTTGTTTGGTCTATAGTTGTATCATGGTATAGTTGAAGGCATGGTCTATAGTTGTATCACAGAATAAACTTTAAACCTGATCGCAAGCAAGGATGGAGACTATGGAGGGGGAGAGGCGTTGCAGTCCTCCGCTCTTGTCAGATGCTCAAGATCAGAGATTGAAATAAGCAAAACAAATATTTTTACCAGCTTCTTGATTTTAAGCAGCTTTAGATCGAATTCAACCCGAACGGGATCGTAGCTTGAATTTGATGGCCTTGCTATGGCGGCAGCCTTCGACTTCAACAACGCAATGAGTCTTGCTTCATCCGCATGCTGGGTTGCAGATCCTGCAAAGGCAAAGAATGCAAGTTTAAATAATTCCTAATCACGGATGCCTTAAAGGCAAGGCGGGAAAAGGGATGGGGCAGAATTATTGCAATTTTGATCCATGCAACTTTGACTCGTGAGTCAGACGCAAGGAAAAAATGCATTGAATAGACTGGCCTTGAAACAGCTTAACATAGGTTTTTTGTGTTTAGAAAACGAACCTAAAAATAATCCCTCGCTTTTTGTATAAAAATACACTAGGCTCGCAAAAGTATGGAAACGGTAGGTCAAAATGGCGGCTCACAGTGACCACGGGCCTAAGCCAACCAATTTCAAAATCCCTTGGTGTAGTGCAAGGTGTTGTTTTACGACACCTTGTTGCAAGCACTCATTTCTGAAAGACCTTGTCAATGTTCCGAACCACAGTATAGGAGTGCCGCAATACTTCAATGAAGAGGCGCATAGAAATAGGACCAAGTATTCTCTAATCGCTTTTTCCTGGTAGGCTTGGCAACCAGGACCCTTCCCTCCAAGCTTTCTCACCTTCTACAATTACAGAAACCGCCACAAAGCCGTTACAGTGTTTATTTGGTTGAACAATGAAGTCTAATTACAGAAGTCCTGTCAGCGTATTGTAGCCGCCATTAAAAAATTTAAAAGGAATTCGTTTACTGAGCTCTTGAAGACCCATAAAAAGTCAGTTGGACTTCCAGTTCTTTTTTATTTGAACCTAGAGACTGATATTAACTGACTATTGTAACATAATAATGAGTTTCATGTATAAACAATCATCAAGTGTATAAAAGAACACAAATCTAACAGAAATTACAGATAAAGAAACAAACATGATATCGCAAGCAAGAAATACTTTCCTGTTCAACTCAGGAACTACGTGGGTAGAGAGGAGGGTGATCAAGATTTTGATGGGTTGTTATGACGGAGCAGAAATTTGTGAATATACATTCTTCAAAACTTAAATTCAATAATGAGTTAAGGAAGTATTGGATTATACAGAAATGATGAATTGTTCTTTAATGGTATTGAAAATAAACAAGACTTAAAAGTTTATAACTTTTGACATAGAATAATTTTACCCATTGATATCCGGGAACTATTCAACAAAGCTATAGACCATAGGTTCTTAATTATTTTAAGTGCCGGGCCAGAAAAACATATAGATTATCTTCGGGGGCCACTTGGTTTTCAACTTTTACATACCTTGTGTTAAAAGGCTGCTCAAAATTAAACTCAGATCTCATTTTTACCAGGCTAAGTTAGTGATAAGATAGGCATGCCTATTATTTCGTGCCTGCCTATTTTATCTACCTTAGAATAAACCAAAAAAATAGTTTTCACAAAGGTTTTGTAGCTTTATGTTTTCTTGCACCAGGCTGCGTCAGAAAATCGTTCTATGCTATTTTTAGGCCAGAAGGTTAATCGTTCGTTAGTCTCTTGTTGGGTCGGTTTGAAGCGCCTGAAGTCAGGTCGAGGGACTGCACAGCGTATTTGAAAGAAAGGCCAAAATTTTATGTTAGTGGATGAATTCAATAAAGGCCGCCAACATGGTTGGCTGCAAGAATTTTTCTAGGTTATATTAATCTAGGAATGGCCAGAAACAGCACCTCAAATAGATTTTAACGGGAGAAAATTCAAAGCAATATTCTTATGGTTTTCATAACTAGATTCCATAGTTTTCTCTGTTGACATGAAAAAGGAAAAGTCTCGCAAGATTTTAGAATGATCTTTGCATAACAGCGTGTAAGATGGAGAAAAGTAATAAATTAAAAAGTAGCTAATTAATCGAGGTGAAAAGCATTCGGCGGGCCGGATAAAATTTTGCTGCGGGCCAGAGTTTAAGAATGGCTGCTAAAGACTATGCTAAAAACCTAGCAGAAATTACAAAGAAAGAAAGAAATATCGCAAGCTAGCAAAACTTTACTATTCAACTCGGGAATTCCGTGGGTAAAGGTGAAGGCTACTCCTGTAACCGAGTTCGAACGTTGGGAAATGCTCTGTTAGGGGCGCATCGTCATGAGCTACGGCATTGTGTGAGAGGGGTTGCCAGTTCCTTTCCATGCTGCCTTTTACCTCCCTAGAGTGTTTCAACTTGTTACTCATTTTCAGCAGATCAAAAAAGGCTATGTACTCACCAGCAATGAAGCATAGAAGCACGATACCAAAATTAAAAGACCACTTCGCTGACGTCCAAGCCATGTTTCCGTGAATGAAAGGTTCCTGGAATGAAAATGAATCGACAAAGCCAGCTCTATTCTGACTTCAAACCGCAATCTTGATAAGGGGGAAGTGCTTTGCTCATTAGAAACTATAAAAACAGCGTAAACAATGAATGGCAATATATTGCTGGAAAACTCCTACGCTGCTTTTGATAAGGGGTTAAAAATATCCCCTCACCTCATCGGAGAAATGATTCTATGAGACCTTAGCGAAAAATTCACTTGCATCGTTGTCATCGTCATTATATATCTACTCATATTCATATATTCATATTTTATATTTGATTTGTTTAAGGAGGGTTGCCCTTCAACGGAAGTTGTTTTTCAAGGGGCCCCCCAATAGAAACTTATATACAATTGCAATGCTAAAAAACAATGATATTAAAGACCTATTTACAATTACATGGTATAATATGGTATAATACAGTATAAGAGGAACTAGTCAACTCTGTATTGATCTTTTGAAACCATCCAGGGAGGATTCCCTATTCATTAACAGTTGGATAGAGGACGTGCTTAGCGAATCGAAAACTCATTAAGGCCTATAATTAGCATTATATATGACTCAACAAAACAATCATATATAGAACTGGTGAAAAAACAATCAATATAGAACTTAATACGTATAGAATGAAAACAAATCAAAATTGTGAGTTACAGTGGTGGGAATTGCGGGGGTGTGAAGGCGGAAAGGGGGGGGGGGGGTGGTGATGACGAGCATCCCTAGCTTTTGCTAAATTCTCGGTTAAAAAAAGTTGGTATGCACATTTGTCGGTACACTTTGTCATTTGGCGGCACATTCGCTTGTTTTTGTAGGTTTTGCCGCCCCCTCCCCCACCTGAAGAATGAATCCACCACTGGAGAAATAAATATTTTGCAGTGTCTAAAGTTACAGGTTTTCCGCTTCAATTTGAAAATAGGGTCAGTGTTTGATTGTTTTATTTGTTGTGGTAAAATCCATCATTGCTTTATTTCTAAAGTAGATCACATATGGTCTCCAAAAAGCGTTGTTTTTGCTCGTAGCTTTGAGCCTGGGGCCATTGCAACTAACACTTCTCTTCCCTATATAACCCTTGTCAATTTTTCTCATTTTCAACCGCATCTTTTCAGTTTGCTAATAACATGAACATTAAGCAAATACGTGAATCTTGAAAGCAATAAAACATAAGATCAATCTAACCTTTAGATCTTCCAAGCAATAGACAACAGTGCCTTGTAAAGTGAGGTGCAAACGTTGCTACATTTTCCAAACAGTCATAAAGTTGACAAAAGCAAATTCCTTTCTATGAACTACAGGAACATTTCCGTATAAACTTGGTGCATTTAAGAGAGGTAAAACGTTGTTATACACTGCAGTGTTTATAATTGTGTATATGCAATTTTGAGCAGAGTTAGTCCCTTCTTTTGCTCGGCGCATAAGTCGTTTGATTCTTCAAAATCTACATGTTCGTTGAAATCACCATAGAAACAACAAGCAGTGTTTGCGAATTATTGATATGTCTTCAGGGGCTACCATGGTTGTTTGCAAAACTTTTATGAGTTTTTAAGGTGGTGATAACGTTCATTTTTTATTGCTTTTATTACAGTCTTTTGTTTGCAAATAGCCTGTCCATCACAGAGAAGACTTATCAAGCAATGGAGGATGTGTTAGGAGGAGGAGGCTGTCTGTGTCTTTAGAGAGGTATGGGCATTTCAAAGGAGAAGAGTGGATGTATCGAAGGAAGATAATGTATGTGTCTATGGCTTGAGTTGGTTGTCTTATGACGAGGCCGGATGTGTCATAACGAGGATTACATGAAGCGAATGGAAAAAAGCAAAGCTAGCTGGAGAGGAAAACGTTTGTGACCATGCCACCAATCTTTCTAGAATTGATTTCAGTGCTATATTTTCAACGACAACAACAAATATTGAAAGGTTGAAATGGGCACCCTGGCACCCTAGACCACGACAACGAGAGACAACTTGGCTCTCTAAATCCTCCTTAATGGTAGCGCTTGTCACGAATTCGAACCTTTTGTGGGTTTGTCCGTTAATGTGGGTTTATGTTGATTGGTTTTTAGTTTGGCTAAAATCAAAAAAGGAGGAGTAATTTAACCCAGCGAGTTTTATTTGTGAAGTTCTGTATCAAGATCGGGACACGCTCTTTGTAACCATGGAAAGAGATACCTTCCAAAGTGGGCAACTCTCGAAACAAACAGCGGACATTAAATGTCTTTCCTACCGTGGAAACGCTGTGCAAGTTAGCTTCGGACAACGGACACCTCAAAATAACAGGCATCTCAGTAGCTCTGTTCCCTAACAGTGTCCGTTATATAAAGTTTTTGCTAGTTATAACCCTTCTCCTGTTATAAACAAACATCATGCATACCACAATATATCACAATAAGCATTTGTTTAAATATTGTCTTCTTCTTTCTTGTTCAATATCAATAGAAAGAACAGACTGCTGTTATTCATCTTTCTTACTTTTTCTAACTTACATCAAAACAACACATTCATTATTACAATCTAAATATAATTAAATTATTTCATACTCTGTTAGAAAAACATATAACATTATTCAAGGTATAGACATATAAACGAAATGAAGGTATAAACGAAAACAAATACATGAAGGGCTATAGTTACGGGGAGATGTGGGTTAAGGGGGGTGTGACAACCCCTATGCAGTTAAATCCATTTTAAAAGAGATGATTTTTTGTCATGTAGGGTATTCCACTGGAAAATTTCAAACTCGCCGCCAAAAAAGATATCGCGCAATTTTTGTCGGTAAACGGAACCTGTACACCCCCTTGCACAATAGCTAGCGAGTAGCAACGGCCCTGTAGAACAGTGTTATTAAACAAACTCGTGCCATCTTTGACAAATAACCAGAAGAAGATCCCCCAGCTCAACAAGTCGATATTTCAAACAGTAAATTTGCTTTCCTTCCTATAAGAAGATAAACTTGTGGAGCCCGTCAGATTTAATACCATATACTTATCACCAAGAAGAACTTATTTTAGCTACTAAAAAGCACGTCCAATAATAGCCAATTCGCCACTTCTGAGTTCAGAGGCTATTGACATCGGTAGAATTAAAAGATAAGACCGTTTCGTGTTCGCATCTAAGAGACAAAAGTTTGGGTGTAAAATGTTTATGCTGATTGAACGTACTTCACTTCGAGTCCAAGCAGAACAGAACACGAGGCTATTACAATAGTGCCAAGGTATCCCCAGAAAAACATTCGATCCAGAAAAAACGCGATTTCTTGCCATTGCTTCTGATTGTCAGCCTCGACCTGGGTGAAATCTTGCGCAAGCGCAGCTACTCCGAGGTGTAAGCTTCTCCTTTGCCTTAAAATTGTCATTGATATCTGGTCACTCTTCTCTTTTCTTAATTGTTGACTCCTGTTCTTGTTCATATCATTATCATGTTCGGATTCCGTGAAATCTGTCAATTCTTCGTTAACAGAATGCATATCTTGAATAGGGTGATCGTTAAAGGACGCTTTCAGTGCTCCAATTTTCTTTGAGCTCTTTTTCGTCAACTTAATTACGAGTCTGCGTAGCCATTCCGGAGGACTGGTGACTTTGAATGCCATACGGGCGGTCATAATACCCGTGACGCAGCCAAGCACCATAATGTAAAACAATGTAACATACAAAATGCCCACTAAAGGTGCGCTATCTCCTTTCCGGGGGAGGTCCTGTGCAATCACCATAAGATAGACACCCATAGTAAGAAGGATTGTCACTGCAAATCCAATTCTTTCCCCTGCGTCAGCTGGTATTTTGAAAATCAACATAGACAACAGGACGACAGCAATGATAGGGAATATGAGATATAGAAAGAAGTATAGTGGTCTTCTCTTTAATATGAAAGTATACACAACTTGGGACACAGGTGCATCGCAGCAGTCATAATGGTGCTCGTTGGTCTTCGCAGTTAACGAGAGTACATCCCATTCGCCGTTGGTCACGTGATGTTTACCTTAGTGCGAAAATGACAGAAATTTAATTTTGTTATGGTCATTGCCAAATTTTATATATATTGCATATATAGCCACTATATTTGTTACGCCTTCGTTAGACTTATATATCATCTTTATGGATATTGGTAAATAGATGACATCTTTACAATTCCATCAAATAAACACATATTCTATTATGTTGTTTAGATTGTTGAGCAGGGCGATATTACATTCTTCATTTTAATATCTTCCTTTCTTCACAAAAGAAAGAAATCTATCATAGAAACTTTATAAATGGAAACTTGAAGCTTTGCCCGATACTCGATTGATGTTGATACCAAGCATAATAAATACATGGGTACGAGGAAATATTTAAAGGCACGCTTTGCGACCGGCCTAATATCGTTCTGCGTGAAAATACAAAATACAGTCAATTTCTAAAGACAACTGCTGCTAAGCATGCTGGTTGCGCAAGGGCTTTTAGACTTTTCATCTGAAACTCTTTAGTGTATAAAATGTAAGAATAAATCTCGATTCTAAGCCATCCAGGATACCTTCTCAGTCATCTATCAAAGCAGGCTAATCAGAAACGCAAGCACGTAACTGTCAAGGTTGCCTAATCAGTGCCACTTGCTTATTGAAAATATCACAAATGGGTTTTTATTTTTGTTCCAACTACTGGCCTCTTATGCGAAGAAATTGCAACTACTTTTTGACACAGTCTAGGTGTTCTTCTAAATGTTTCCAAGTGGCATAACCACAAGATTTAAGTCATAATCAAAAACTGCAAGACAGAAGAGGCTGTTCTCACTAGGAAAAAATTTGAAGGTACGAATTTCGAATTACTGTGCTTCAGACAGAGTTGTAATTGTTAGGGTCACAAATACAGATCCAACGTTCTGAGGCACGAGTTTATGCAATGAAAAGTTGCCATACTCCAATGCGACCTATGGTTTCGTAGACCAATTTCTTTTAGTTTATATTTTTGTGCCTTGGATGAAGTTATTCTGCACTGTAAAACAAGCAGGAATCAGAAGGTGTGGTCACATTAAGAGGAAGGAGCAGGTTGATAACCATAGCCTCTAAGTTTTCTGCAAATTCCTTTGAGTGCTACAATTCTTGCCAAAAATAACTGGAACGTCTTACCATTGCAGCATGCAAATAAACAAAGCAAGTCTAAAACTACCTTACCAAAATATCACTGCCGCTTCAAAAATTTCGACGCCCTCCCCCCGTACAATGTTGATTTATTTTCTCAATACTTTCATACAGCTTCCAGTGAAAATTTTTTATCTTCAGCGTCAAAACAGCCAAATTGAACAGCATTGTAATGGGGGTAGGGGGGGATTTTTCAAAAAGCTTCAGTTTTGCGCTAGTGTTCCAAAAATTTTGGCAATGATTGTAGGTTGCAATAAATAAAAATTCAAAATTTTAACTTACTCCGGAGATTAGCAAAGCTTTCAGGCAGCTTGTGGAAGGACAATGTCATTCGATGCTTGGAATATGACAGAGAGCCAAATACAAGAGAACATGTCTGTGGATAATAAAATAAAATCATTATTGTTATACAGCTGTACAGCATAGGACAGCGCAAGAGGTCGAAAGGACAAAGAATCTTTGGTAACAAGTTCGAAGTTTTGTAATGCCATGTTTTCTTAGTGTATTTTGCTCTGTTCTTTCATATATCATTCTCTGTGTTAACTGTTCATCCTAAGTTACCTACTGTTATAGCCTCCATTTGATTTTAGAAGAAGTCTGCATTATTTGGACCCACCTTTGATGGGCAATACGCTTTGGGTACAGTAGTAAAGAAGTACCATGTTAGGCCTTGAAATCTGGGGGTACACTAACGCACACTAACAAACAAGAACCGAAGCTTACACTTAATAACGCAACAAATTTCTTAGGATATATTCTTTAAATGCCCCAGTTTTGGTTATTCTTGAGAGGGTGTAATAGGAAAATGGTCTTTGGTATATTTGGAGGTCTTACCTGGCTATCGACAGGGAACCATGTAATGTCTACTGCACAGGAGCTTTGCCAAACGACAGTTGAAAACCAGGTAATCGTTCCATTGCTGTAGACATGAAGCGGCGATTTGTAGAAATCTGCTGGTGCATTATTGTTCAGATCTGCACTGGAAAAGACAGGAACTTAAGGCTTATAAAGTAGAATCGTTGATTATCCAGTGCATAATGCATTTAGAAAAACACATGTTTATTTAGTTTGGGATCACAGAGACATTAAACAAAGTTTCAAACTTAGTGAAAAAGAACAAGAAATCAATAATTATTGCAGAAGAATCCCTGGGGAGGGAAGGGGGTGGGAATTCAATATGCCGTGGACGGGGTTGTGCAATTTTAAAATATGAAAACACACCCTAAAATTTAAGATTTTTTCCAAAAACCCTACCCCAAATTTAGATACAATGTGAAATGCATATCCTTAAATTTGATTCAAATTTGCAAAAATACAACAACTCAATCAAGAAACTGAGAACATATTACCCTTCTTTTAAAAATGATACCTCAAAGTTTAAGGTTATGCTAAAAATCAATCCTAAAATTTATGACCAAGCTTAATTTTCACAAAATTGGTACCCTTAACACAAAAGGGCACATCCCTTACCAGTAAATGTGGAAGTTACCCCCGGCGAAGGATCCCCTATCACGGGTGGTGCTTTTTTACAATATGAAAATATTGCCCATACAATGTAACATAGGATTTAGCATAAATCTAATGTAGTCTTTTATAGAAAGATTATCTAATGAACATGCATTCACCTCTTAAAGTTGTCATTGTGATACTCACGTATTGTAAAGGACAATGTCAGGAGTCCAAACAAAAGAACTGCCTAAATTGACCAATTTGGTACCATTATATTTGCTAGGATCCCAACGCATCCGAGGATCTGCCCACCTCTGTCAGAAGAATAGTATCATCAAGGTTATTCACAGTTTTTCCTAAAGGTAAGAATAAAAACAGGATGCAACAGGAAGGTAGGACTAATGTAGGCTCCGATTTTTAACAATAGATTCTGCAAAGGTTGGGTCATGGAGCCTTAACTGATAGCCAAAACTACTACAGCTTTCACTCTGATGAAACACCAGATACTGTGAGGGAAGCTCAAATGATTACTTATATTAGGGACGTGGCAAAACTCTGGTCTAGAGGAAAGTTGTCATGGAGACTTCTTGCATTGAAAATGTGCTACTGTGCCATTAATAAGAAGGATATTTATTGAATAAAAGTCAAGTTTTTCATTTTACGCCACATATCAATCACCATTGTTGTTGTAGTGAAGGTCGAAAACCTCACTATCATTACACTGGGTGTACGTTCAACTTATTCAGAAGTGACTAACAAACAGGCCAAGACTCAAGTGCTTCAGAGGTATCGTATGAAGATGCAAAATTTAGAATTTTTGACCAAGAATTTAGAGCAACTTTTTAGAATAATTGTGTTTTCTGGGGCGTTACACACTGACAGCTGTGACAATATATTTTCAAATCCTTCACCAATTCTACTGCAACCAACCATTTGCCTTTAGAAACCGTCGTCTTATTTTGTATAAAAATTTCATAGAAAATCTGATAAGGAATTATAAAGAAGCAAGATTATACTCAATTGCAAGGTGGGGGTACGACACGGCCGCAAAAGGTCGATTTGACGGTGACTCTTTAACTTGCTGTAAATCAATAATACTCACCATTACAACAAACGTATGCGTGATGAGATGTTGTTCCCTTGTAAGCTGTGGAAATCAAATGTTAAAATGCATATAAGATTCCAGATAGGCAGTTATAGTTTTGAAAGACAAACTGAACATTTACAGTTTATCCCTTTCTTGACAAGACGTGAAAAGACCTAATTGCCCTAGGTTAGCCCAGCATACAAAATGAAACAAACCAAAGTATTAATTAGTAAGAATCATTTATGTGTATTCCTTGTAGCTGTGCGTTTTTTTGTTTTGTTACGTGTTATTCATGTTTATAGCTGCGGTGCCGGGTGTCATAGTATCCTACACTCCGTGGTATCGTCCTTGTAGTGTAGTCAAGTAGATTCTACGTAGTATAGCGAATAGCTTGTAATTGTAAAATTTTATATTGAGTATAAAAAACTGAATGTCGTAAATTTGCCAATACGTCACTTAACGTACTCCAGTGTCTCGGCTGTTCACAGGAACTAAAATTAAAAGATTCTGCCTCGGGGTAGCACATAATATACGTGACTAATTGGATGTTTTTGCAAAAAGATAAGCTTGCTGCAAGCTTGACGCCAAAAAAATATCGATATTGATGGCATCATCAAGATATTATGGTTCAGAAATAAATTTTTGGTTTTCTTCTCTAAACCAGCAAACCAAAAGCCAAAACGCCGTAAGCAAACGTTTCGATTTTAAGTCAGAAGGAACGTCAATATGCACTTAACCACGGAAAGTCAGGGAAGGCAAAAATTCCATTTAGATTTTTCAACATAATTGTCAGCATTATAACTACAAACTCTAGACGATAAAAAGAAAACATTTTCTCACCAACTTTTCTATTTTGTGAAGTTTGAGATCAAATGTTACATGAACTGGTTCGTTGTTTGAAAGTACTGGCCTCCCAACTGCCGTGACATTAGCAAGGAGGTCTTCCACAAGCTTTGTTTCGATTGTACTAAAGCTTGAAATTCCTGAAAGGAATTGAATGAAGCATGATTACTGTGAACTTAAATATCAAAATTTTATTACCGTAAGAGTCTTCGATAAACATAAGAATTTTACACCCACAGCTATGGTGGAAGATATGAAGGAAACTAAGAGAAAGAGGAGGAAGAGGGGAAAGAAGAAAGAAAAGAAGAAGCATTAAAAGAGAAATCAATGATTTGGTGGTACAATACTTGAAAATGGCTTTGAAAAAAGCAAACATTTGAGTACACCAGTACACTAAAGCTTTTCGTCTGATCCTCTTCAGAGTTTAAAACGTCAGAACGTAGATGTAAAACTCTACGCTAGGAAAGCAATGAAGTGGAACAGAAATGGTATAAGAAGCAAAGGAAGTAAAAGTAGAAGAAGAAGAAGAAGAATAGGAAGCTAAATAGCGAAGAATAGTGAAGAAAAAAATCGAAGAATCAAAAGACGAGTAAAATGATATGGCAGAAGCAAAGAAACACGAGGAAATAGGGGAAGAGTTGGTAGAAATGGAGAGAAAGGAAGAATAATTGGTAGAAAAGAAGAAAGAAGATAAGAAAGAGGAATCATGGAAAAAAGGGAGAAAAAGTAAGAATAATAAATGAAGGGACAGAGGGTAAGAGGAATAGGAAGAAATAGCATTGCAGCCCGAGTAGATCGAATTAAATTCAATATCGTTTATTGGACGTCTTTTGGCAAAATTGGCACAGGAATGGTGGAAGTGAAAATTCCCTAGACATTTGACATTGTGGTTGCAGTATTTCACTTACACAGATTACACAGTTTATGAAAACTACAAAGTTTTACAATACAAAAAGGCCAGAGTTTCTTTGAGTCTATCATTTACTAGAAAATTTAGCACACTCACCAGCAATCCATTGTAACATTATCAATTCAGCAACCACCCAGGATATTGACACCAAATGCATGGTAGGATTCCAAGAGATGCTCCTACACGACTGAAAACAAGTTATATGAAGAGACAGCTATTACACAAAAAAGGGAAGAGAATGAGAACGGTTTCGTCATCCCATCAACCGTTAAAATCCAAACGAACAGAGCCACACGATTTCTACAAATTGACATCATTGTGATCTAACAGGGCAAATTTTCTTTGCAAAGGAATATGAATAATTTGTGTCTTTTGCAATGCCAAAAGGAGAGCATGTTGACTTAGTTTTCGAAAAATGCACGAGTTGACAGGAGTGCTTATTTCATTGGGTAATCTTTGAAAACCGAAAGCAAACAAATATAGTAAAAAAAGTCCTGTTAAGATTGTTATCAGCAAACAAACCTGGAGGCATGTCTGAAATCTGATATTTCTGTGTACATTGAGTCAAAGATAACTGATATTTAGAACACTAGAGCTTGGGCTAAGCAAGGATTAAGGGATTGGCTGTCTTTTGTCAAGAAAAGAATGTAGGCTATCTCTATCCTGCGGAAATAATACCAACTTGCCTCCAACTTACCTTCATAAAAATAAAAAAGAAAGTATATGGATGGAATAGGATATATAAAATGTAGAAACGCTAGATGTAAATACGTAGTAAGTAAATGAAAGTTTTGTAGGTTCCAAAAACAATTATAAACGATCAAATTCGTCTGAATTAGGCCAGTACAATAAATCAGTTTAATTGGTTAATTTAGGCCAATGTTTTCTTGGGTTCTTCGATAATTTCACGGCAAAAATAAATTTGTTTACAAGCTGGGCTACTAGTTCAGTATGAATCTTGCATTCAGTGAGAAAAATTAATGAAACTACTAACTTGTACTCACAAGAACTCTAGTAAGGACTCCAGGTCTTGCGACGCATGGTAATGTGACTTATTCATTTGAATCTTTTGGTAAACAATCAGTCGCGTAGGATTGCGTCGTCATGTTTCCCATATGAATTAATCTCAATCATTATCGGGTGAAATGCCGTAACAAAACACTATTCAAATCTGTGTCCTTCAATTGCTTTCAAGAATTCCTTTATAAATAATGCAGTTTCGGAAGGAGAATGCTTTGGAAAGGGCTAATTAATGAAATCGTTTATAATTCATCGAAATGCAGGTAAATTTCACCCGACAATGTATGTGTATCAAAACATGACTTTTTTGCTTATTTACCAAATTGGATGATATAATATCAACAAATATATAACTGAAGCTTTTGGTACTGATTAAAGTTTCATTGTTGGCATCAATTTAACTGCATGTCGGCACGATAAAACACTAAAAACCAAATTGATCGACGGCGGAGAACAGTTGAATTACGAGTGATTTGGTGAGCAAAGGGACCGCCGAGAGAGGGGTAGGGCGCAAATTGCCCAAGGAATCGAGGTCCGTGGCACTAAAATAATGAATTTCAATTAATCAAACATAGCAAAAGTGTGCCAGGAAATAGTAAAACGCTTTGAACCAGTAGAAGAAAATGAGTGCACGAGGAATTTTAAAATGCATTATCAGCTAAGTTTTAAGTGTATGGTCGCAAAATTTTTTTCTTTTTTTGCTCGGAGCGGCGCTTCTTTTTCGGTTTTGCAAAAAGGCCTTCAACACCTCTCGACTGACCTGATAAGCAAAGAAAGGCGTAACTTTGTAATCCTATCTAAGGTCAAAATATCCAATCCTGCATCATCAATTCCTTTGCAAACAGCAAATCATTGTCAAAACACAGGAGAACTCCATCTTAACACCTTGTATAGATATAAAGATGGGATCAAAAACATTTTAACTTACACCGAAGGTAGGCTTCAGCAGACACTGGGGGAGCCGAAAACTTGTTTATTTTCTTGAAGGGAGAGAGAGACAGGGGGGGGGGGGCGAATGACTTTATATAGCATGGTGACAAGCAAAGCAACGAGCCCGGCTTAAGTTGTGGCAGAATAGTTTTTGGACCAACAATACTGAAGGAAATACTCCTGGACGTCCAGCTAATGTTAGATTATCAATCGATTTTAAAACGTTTTCTAACACTTGACAAACAATTTGACAAACAGCTGGTTCATGTTGTAACTAAAATTTTGTCCCTTATGAAAACCATTTTCTCCGCGATTGTAGCAATTGTCTGCAGTGATTTTTAATCTTCTTTACTTACTTGAAAAATTATGTTCTAGTTCTATGTGCTTATATCAGAAGGCCGGGGAAATATCAGATCGCGCCTGCTGAGGGGCAGCGTCTGGAGTCTTAGTAGATTTTCCCCAGGTCAATTTTTAATTAAATCTGCAAAGCAAAATATTTCTATACATTAAAACTATTTCATTCATTATCGAAAGATTGAGCAAAATTATGCAAATTACTTGTATAATGCCATACACTTTTTTCCATTGGAAACGGATAATGTTTCGTCAAGGCTCGGTGTTCTTACTAATGTTCACCTCGGTTACAAACCAAAATGCTTACCATGGCTCCTAGCTTGTTAAATAAATGCAATAAAGATTGAGCAAAATAAAGAGAGGAGCCCTAACAAAGTCAAAAAACGATTGAACAGCTTTGGAAGAAAATGCTCGGGTGTTTGTAATGTTGTCCTTATTTCAACATCAATTTTTCTACAACTATGTACTAAAAATTGTTTTTAAGACCACTTAATAAGTTTTTCATGACATTGTTTGCAGCACAGTTTCGCCTCTGTTTGGCTCATGAAAGGAAATGCTCAAAACACATTGCTCTTTCTTTTAATATTCCACCCGAATTTTTGTTGCCTAATAATTAATGAAGCCTCGTTGTTGACACGAGCCATCTTAAAAAGAAAAAGGAGCTCAAGCGGCAGTCAAAGAGTTAAGAATTTTACTTTTCTTTTTAGTATAGCACATGAAGTGACTAAAATGAAAATTCAATTTTATTGCTGATTAACAAAACAAATGAATTGATACACAGTAAATAGATCTGATGTGCCACTGTTTGATACAATTGCAAATTAGTCTTCAGCAAATGTCATTCTTCCGGGTCCACCAGCTTTCATGTATCGCCTGCAAAAGTTTTGAAAATACATTTTAACAAACGATGAAAGATGGATGAGATCAAAGGAGGAGCAAACATAGAATCTGAACGTGATAAGAAAACTGTGAAACAAGTCAACTATAATTACATTATTTCTGTTTGATTAAAATAACTGTGTAACTATTTTGTGAAATAGCAATACTGACATAAATTTAAAAAAGACTTGACAATACTGTTTTGAATTCAAATCATTATTAATAACAAAACATGGCCTAAGTTTAGAGTAGAGTATGATAAATTGTCATTTAAGGAAAAGACAGACCAAACAGACCAATTGATATTACATTCATTACGCACTCACCTCCACATTTTGTGTTTATTATTTTCAGCCATCTTGACTCTCATCTCTTCTTCCTGTTCCTCCTTGAATGCCTGGAAAATTAAAAAGAAACATTTAGAATTTATTGCGAAGCAAGGCAATAGCTGAGTAATGAAGTTGTACTGGGCATCTTTTAGAGGTGGTTTTCTTCAAAATCAGGTATTAACTGCTTAACTGGCATGTCACGTGCAGAAAAGCACACAAATTTATGCCCTGTGTGCTTCTCAGATGAGAATAGCTAACCTAACTAAAGTCAGAGTCGTTTAATTCGAAAACTTCGAATTATGTCGATGTGGATGTCGAAAATGTCGAAGTGGATGGTAAACCTCTATATAATGTACGTTGATAAATTGTTAGGACACCAGGAAGCAATAATTTTTTGGGACATTGAGATGCTATGCTTATCGAGCAGTGTCCTGGTCCCTTTTTCGGTGTGACCATGCCTCGTGATTCCTGCGCCTGGAATTCCAAAGATCCGGCCACTTTTCTCAATTTGGATGAAGGTTTGGTCATGTCAGGGACTTGAACCCCAGACCCGTTGGTCGGTAGTAAGCGACTCTAACCGCTAATAAAACCTCATACAGTATATTACGCAACAAAATTTTGGAAACCTTACGCAACAAAATTTTGGCCAAGCAGATAAAAATGTTGTGAACATTACCTTCAAGTTTTCTTTAACCCATAACTCGCGGTTTAAATAGTCTTTTCGGGCAAGGTCATCAATAGCCTATAACAAAAACAGAATTGGCAGGTCTATAAGTACCAACCATATATTCTATACTGTTTCTATCAAACCTGCAGAAAAATAAAATGACAAAAAATCCCAATGATAATAATATGCTTCTACCGGAGGATACCGAGTTTGTGTCTCCTCAAGGACCAATTTCCTGTAGGTGAATTCTTTCACATTTGCTAAAAATCCCCCCTTTTAACATATCAGGCCATATGCTAAACCCTCTATCAAGTATTGAACGCCTCGGGTGTTGAAAAAATTCAAGCTCTCTTATGAGGGTCCTTCGACAAAAATCGTATAGACAACAAAGATGTTCAAATTCAACAGAACAAAGCTATCAGTGACTTTATTTGCTTCATGAATCGCCTGGAAACATAAGGAATTAGGTGAAAAGGCAAAGCCAGACTTTATACTTTGCTCAGACCATATGATAAGTATCGAAACCTATATATACTTTAAAAATGAGGCATTCTCTGATATATTTCTCTGAATTGCCTTACAATAGGGTGTTTAAAAAAGTAGGCGTGTTTCTCACTTAGCTGAATTAAAAAAGGAGCGTGAATCGGAGATGGGATTTAAACAGAGATAGAGATAGCCTCCAAAGAGTTACGGTGTTTCTAAATCTCGTTGCTCTACCGTGGATTAATCACGTGACTTACCTCTTTCAATACAAATGAAAGAGTTAAAACCAAACATTTTAGCCAAATTTTAAAACATAAACAAAACGTACCTCCCAATATAAATCACTAACTCCAATTGCCTTCCGTGTCAAGTACTCTTTCTCCTCAGAACCATACTCCTCTTTCAAAATCCAGAATTTCCAAATCCATCGTGCGGCCCATGCGATGTACAAGACTATGTAATAAGGGCTAGATAGAGAGAATAACTGCGTTAGTTGGTTATAAATAAACCAGAGGTAAGGCAAAATAAATTATAAAGTAATGTATGAAAAATTAACAGCATTTCTATTGTAATACTATTTTCATACTAATATAATTTTTAAATTTCAATATTTTCAAAGTTTTGTGTGAGGCAAATATATTTCAAATCTTTGAATTTTTTTTTATTTCTCTATATCATGTTTTATTTTCTATACATTTTTCTACATCTTATTACTCTTGTTTAATTTCTCTCTATCTTTATAACAATGATACCTATCTCACTAATAGAAACCAACAAATTCATAAACTAAGTTTGTGTCAATGAATATGTGCTACATAGAGTACCTATCGAGGAAACTGAGAAGAATATATAGTTAAAGAAGTAGTAATAAAAATTAAAGTAATAGAAAATTGAAGGAATAATCAGAAAATTTAAAATGTAAATCCGAAAATTACCGACCTCATCGCTAGCTGCACCCAAAGAATATCTCTTAGCGATGGTTTACTATAACCTCCCCTAAGATGGAAAAAAAGTATTACGCCAGAAGGAAAATAGATTGAGTCATAATAAATCCTTGGATCAACAACTCTTCAAATTTGTGATCATTAATTATTTTTGAGAAAAGCTCTTTTCATCGGTGCTTTTTCAAATATTGAAAAGAAGATTAAAGACTGCATGAAACGCAAGAAGCATTTTACGTATACTGAGAACATTCAGAACTCCTCAGAGCGAGAAAAAACGCGATAATCTAGTATGTTTGACAGAATGAATGAAGCTCTTTATAATGACCAATCCTAATATTTGATTGGCTTTTTATAATGACCAATCCACGATCAATAACCCCTCACGTGGTTGAAGGCTCTTAGTGGAAACTCCTGTCTGGAAACCCTAGTATTTTGTTTAAATAAAGATAGACGCAAAAATATCGAAATGACAAGAGAACTGTGAGGTTTTCTAGCGAACAGAGATAAGCAATTGACCCTTCACTGGTAGAATATAGATTGTTCAACCAAGGAATAATACTTTGAAAGATAACAGTTTGAAAAAGCTAAATTATAAATCATTGATAGTCATCAAATAGCACCTACCGTATGTCAATTGAATTCTCAACAACTTCTCGCAGTATTCTAGCTTCTTCCTCTTTTCTCTCTTCCTGAAAGACAAAGCAAAATGAATTAATTACTTAAATAAAAAAATCTAGGAGAGAAGTGGAAAAATGACTCATTTATATGCCAAAATTTGTTAAAATAGTAGTAGGATGTCAGATTAGGGGGAGATACTTAGAGGAGTTAAATTTGATAATGAAAAATGAAGAAATACCAGAAATGCATTACTGAGAACTGATAAGGGGACCTTGCCCTGAGCAATTTTTTTTGATGACGAAGACCCCTAAAATGTTAACAATAATGCAGTTTTTCTTTAAATTAAAGCTAACATTGAAATCAAATACCGACCATTGTCAAACCTAAACCATATACATATGAATGTTTTAAAGAAAGTATATCTTTGATGCAACATTTTACCTTCGACTTTTTACCCTTTGCCTTTTTGCCTTTGACCAGTAAACCCTCATCATGGGCAACTTTCATTGCCTAAAAAGGAAGATCAAAAGTGTCATTAATTATGCAAGCTCCATTAAAAATCTTTTGCAAACAGTAAAGTGTTGCAAAATTAGTAGCATCATTTCATACAATGACAATATTATACAAAACTGTGCTACAAAATGAGTTAAGGTTTTCTTATTTCACATTTGGAGATTTTCCATCTTGTATCTTTTGTAGATTTTTCTAAAAGAATAAATCTTCGCCTGTTTGTCATTTAGATAATGAAAATGAAGCTTTAAACAATTTTCCATCATTCATATAACTCAGCAAGTATCAGCACAAAGTCAAAGATACATTACCTGGTTTTTAAATTTTGGCTGCTGCATAGCATATTCTATAGCTTCATTAAACCTAACATGTTTGTGCATATACTGAAAATGAAAAAGAAAAATTCAGTCTAAAACAAAAAATAAACATAACATAACAAAATTGCAAAGATTTTATCATTAGTCACTTTAAGAGTTGATTTAAATTTTCTTCAATATAGGTACTTCAGTGAGACAAAGAAATAAGGACTGTCTTTTCTTTATTTCATCTTTATTACATATAGTTTTTTTGTAAGAAACTGAAACTTCTACATGTTGTTGCAATATAAAACGAAAATTAACTCAAAAATTTACACGGGAAAGTTTGTTTTTGGGGTTCTAAAAACAATGGTTGCGAGTGACAAAGCATAAGAATCAATTATGTCACAAGGTTTGCAGTTGATTCGGTCTTCGCAGTAAACACACTTTACCACTAAGTCAGGGCTGTTAGTCAAACAATTGTGCAAATTGTGATACCAACATGAAAAGTTGCAAAAAGTATTGGTACATAGTGTTGCTATTCTTCTTAAGGTATATTACACAAGATCTGGGCCCATGACGTAAAACTTCAATTCTATAAAAATCCTAGATATATAATTATATCAGCAGCCTACGTCCAATATTTGCATCAGGCCACATCAAGATGTTAATAGGAATGGCTTGCAGCACATTATTTCATGATAAATTTTGATAAATGTACCTGTAAAACTGAGATGACAGATACTGTAGCAGCTATGACAATCCTAACATCAACCTTAGGGGTGACCTGTCTCTTGTAGTATCGGTAGTAATGGTAGTATGCATATTCTGAAAAAAACAAAGAAGCAGGTAAAGTTCACATCCATTCTATACATAGATATATAAATACATGGTTTTATTAACTATGTATTTGTATTTATTTACGTATAGTTAATGGTTAATATTAATATCTATCTATGTATAGTTATTAACCTATGTTGAGTTGCAATGAAGAAAAGTTAACATGATAACTAGAGCTGGTTTGATGATTGCTGTATGAGCAAATTTGATGTGTGTCACTGTGCAAATTGATGAATCATTATGATATCAAGAGTTGACAAAGCTTTCAAACCTGGATTATCCAACATGTAATCATAGTCAGTCCTAGCTTCATCATCTTTTAGTGTCTGGAAAAAATTGGTTTAATCAGTAATTTATAGTGTCAGGAAAACATGTTGAAAACAGGAAAAATAGTGAGCAATAATAAACAAATAAAACCCCTTAAATACAAAATATACAACTATCCCCGAAAAACTTAACCGCAATGTCTCTCAACTCTCAATCCATTTGAAGCTATTTCATTTCAATATCATATATATTTGAATAGCAAAATATTTCATAGTTAGGGCATAATTGGCTTACGAAAAAGCTTTGGGTGAGGTTTGACACAAGTAGCTTAACCAAAAACAATTCCAGTTTGTGGTTTATGATCAATTGAGGAGCAAGACACATATAAAACATGGACCTGTTATCAAAACCTGTTATCAAAACCTGTTATCAAAACCTGGAATCAAAACCTGTTATCAAAAACAAACAATATACTAATGTCTCAAGGAACTCTTCTTCTGTACCTCATAGGCAGTTGCTATCTTTCTAAATCTCTCTTCTGCATCTTTTTCCTATGAGGAAAAGAAACTTCATTTTAGTTAGCATTCCTTTCAGTTCTTGTTTATTCCAAAAAGGGCACTATTAGTGAAATGACAAAATAAGAGTTGATTCGAACAGGTATTCAAAATAAAGACAACCTAAAAACTCATTTGTCAATTGAGTTAGAAACTATTCTGTAAAAATCAAAGACAATCACAAATATAGAATGGGAAGGAAATAATTTGTAGTCAAAGTTATGTACAACCCCTAACTGAAAAGGGTCTTTGACCAAAAGAGATTTTCCTAGGTAGCTTTTAACCAATTAATGTCCTACAGATGCTATTCTTTCTTAATCATAACATTTTTGGAATACTTAAGTGCTGCAAAGCCAAATTACAAGGTGTTGTGTCTCTTGCCTGGTTGTCACTGACCATTTGATTAAAAACCAACTATTTGTATCAACTGCTTTTGAAACATGGTTAGAAGGCTCTTGGTTGCCTAATTTGGTCAAGCTGTTAGCAGCAATGTTATAATGTCTATGGTTGCTATGTCTATTCTATGCTTAATTAAGCAAAGTTTATCCAGTCTTTGTAATCAATGTTTGCTATCATCAAACTTGAATGTTTAATTTGATTTTCAAACTGTAATGTCAGTGCCTTTCTATGGCTTGCTACAAATAGTCGAACTCTCTACATATTTTGCCAACAAGAGTTGGACAACATTTTTTCATATGTAAATTCTGTTTTAAAAGAAATTTTTGGCTCCTAAAACAAATGTGGTTTTGCTTGCCTGTTGACTCAAAGAATATCAAGTGAAGCTTTAAACATTTACTGAGGATGACAACTAAGGCAAAATCAGGATTTTGTGTTAAAAAACTTGCTATGAAAGGTTCAGCCTTGGCCAAACTGGGCAACATGTTGTGGGACAATGTTGCACCAAATTTTGTTGATTATTTTGCAGTTAAAACATTTTGGCCAAACTGGGCAACATTACAGCATCTATTGCTGAAGTTGTCCCAACAGCATACCAAATTTGATCTGACAAGTGATTTTCCACGCCATATGCGATTTGAGCACAAATTTGGAAAAGTATGCGGAAAGAGTGCAAGATGCAGCTACTGGAAGCTGATTTCGATATCACAACACCATTGTTGCTTTTAGCACTCTTTGGTTTAGCATTTGGCCAATTTGTTGCTTTTAAAGAACTTGCATTTTGACTTGTTCCAGATAATATCTTCTTATCCTTTCTACACTATTCTTCCTCTCCATGGTTTTCTTTCAATTCTGTACAATTGCCTTCAAAGATTAAACTTTGACAGGCCAATACAGTGCATGTTGATTTTTTTAGAGGGGAAATTAAGCTGAATTGTTGTCAAACAATATGGCCATACTGAAAAACATACAGCCGACCAACAAATGTTGTCGAAAACATTTGAGCAACAAATTTCTTGACAAATTTATTGGCCGACATGATGGCAAAGCTGGGCAACATCTAGTGAGCAAAGTTTCTCACGAAAAAAGAGTTTTTTCCAAATGGTATAGCCATAACATTGGGGATGGGCCTATCAAAAAGAAATCTATATAATTATTTGAAACAAATTTAAGCATAACTCACCTTATATACATCAGGATGATACTTTCTTGCAAGCTTTCTGTAAGCTTTTGAAATTTCACCCTGGGGAGAAGAAAACCATTATGCAAAATTTGAAGATTGAGATGAATAATATATGTTATATATTATCAGGCTAAAGAATTTTTTTCAGCAAGGGTGTGGAGCTGGGGACTTAGGGGGCTAAGTTCTACTTCTACATGGGGTTAAGTAGTCCTTTATATTTTTGCCATTGATTTTTGAGAAATTTTTCACGAGGACCACCCTGTTATTTTGTATCTATACGTAAGAATGTATGTATAATAATCTTTAATGTGAATAACAAACTAAGTTTGAAAACTTGCTTTCAGCTTGGTTCACAAATTAAAAGTACAAATAATCTAAATTCAACCAATAAGGAAATAAAAATCAGTAAAAACCTAGTACAAAATTCAAATAATGAGTTATAAACCTATAATGTTAGTTAAAAATGCTATTTTAAAATCCATCCATACTTATTAAAAGTTTGTCCATTAAATAATTCTTACATTTATTTTTAAAAGAATGAATATAAAGCCCTGTTTGTGGTTTATTATGGAACATGCATGGGTGAAAATTTTTTCACTAAGACACTACAATGTAAAATATCACAATGCATAAATGTGATCAAACAATTTTTGCCTTTTTAAATTTGAAATCAGATAAGTTTAACTGGTAAAAGGGGTCGCTAAACAGTAAACACCAAACCACTGCACACAGAAGTTGATAAATAGCAACTGGGAAATACGTTGCGACCAAATTTATAAAAAAACTGTCTATTTACAAAAGTTTAGGCATTGTTTGATTATTCGGAGATCTGTTTACCAAGGACTTCATTAACTTGGTCAACAATGAACAAATAATTGCGATAAAGATCAGATAACTTAGATCAACATAAAAATCGAAATACCTTTGTTGCATCTCTAGTTACTCCAAGAACTAAAATAGAAATACATATTTAGACCAAAGTTCGTTCGTTAATTGAATGATTTTATATTAGAATAGCAATTTGGTCTCACAACCCACATGGAAATGGCTAGGCCACGCCGGCACGTCGGTACCAGCTCATTATGGCCTATCGAAAATGAGAAGAATATTTTTCTTACCATCATAGCAATTATCTTGTCCACAATACAAATTTTCAAATGATGCACTACAATATGAAAAGAATAACGAAACGATAAATATAAAAGAAATCTTTGCTGTGATGTTGACAGCCGCCATTTTTCAATCGATTTGGACTGCGGAAGATTTTTCCTTTCAGAGAATAGAAATATGCATAAATTATTAGTTGCAGATCATTGGCTGATTAAATTTATCCCGGCATCTGATTGGATATTTGCATAGAAATTAACAGGACACATCAACATCCGCTATAAGCTATAATGTAATGATGACCCTGAAAATGGCTGATATTGCTCAATTTTAATCGATTTTTTCAAAATTCGTACAATTGATTCCGTATGATTATCGCCTTATTATTTGGCAATTGAATAAGTTTATTGTCCTCATCAATTGAGGTTTAAAACAATTTGCATTGCGCGTGGGTGTCTAGTGTAGAATCGTCTGTAGCCGAGGCAATTATTTCTCCTCAAAAGGAAATGAATTCTTGCATCAGAGCTCAATTTACAAGATACACTAATTAACAGAGAAATTATTTCAGTTAATTGCCAAATAAATTTCTATTGAGGGAGTCACTGTAAACTGAAGACGAGCTCCCTTGTAAATGTCGAAAAGTAACTCTTTTTGTGAGGGCCCCACACCAGTATTGCTTTTAATAGCTCTTTACTCCTATAGTCTATATTTGCGCATTAAGTTCCATACTCTGTAGAGGCATTCGCAGATGCCGAAAGGTTCTGAAGTGTGACGTCATAAAAATGCAATTTAAGAATATTTTACTTTGACCTTATAATCTGAAAGAACACCACAAAACACCTCTGGATATACAAGAGCAGTTAATAATTTAGATATACCCAATCAAAGATTTGGAGAGATCTACTGAATGAAAGATTTTCAAAAATTTTAAGTTTCCTAACGGACTACTGTTATTCTGGCTTTGAATTTAAACTTTCACTTAGGAGCTCCATTGTTTATCGTACCAGGTTCTACTACTCAGAGAAGGTCTAGGTGTGTCATCCGAAACTCTTGTTTAAATTACCTTTTCTCAGGTCACTGACTGTGTGACCATTATATTTTTGGAAATTTACTTGCATTACAATGGACAATGTACCAGTAACTAAATTTTCCTTTATTTCATCCTACCGAGTAGTTATAATTATAAAAATTTTCAACCAATGTTGCTATGGAGATACAAAAGTGCTAATTTAGCGGCTCTCCAGCTGAAACAGTCGATTTGAAAAGCACGAGCGTATGTTCTTGGGCCTGCACGGTCAGTGACTATATGTAAAGTCGCGATTTGATCTTGCCAAGTTCCACCAATTCTTCTGTATTCTTTCAGCCAAGGACAGCTTTGTGCCCCATGAATCAAAACAAACAAACAACGTCAATGAAAATTGTACTTCAGCTACGGGGCTGGGGACCTTTCAGCATGAAACGTAGCTTGCTCAACTTGAGTTAGCATTTCTGATTTTCTGGGTCTGTGACACTGGAATCGAGAAAAAGAAATCTTTAACCTTGTTCAGACCAGCAAATGGGCCTACCCAGTCTGCATTCAACTGGCATTGAACATTTAGACAACGTGTTGTGGATGAAAGCTTGAGGAAAGAAGACAGGTTTTGATAGGCACGAGTTAACGAAGGTTGGGAACTTTTCTCATGATACAATTTGGTTTGAAGAACGATACGGTAATTGAGAACTAGCTTTTGTACCCTGGAATAGTAATAAGAAACTTAAATTGCACAAGGTACGACTGAGACTAAACTAAAATCAAATTAAACGTATTTACATGTTTTTAAATGCACCTAACAGTATGATATCCGAAAACACTAAAAATTGATATTACATAAACTCTTTAAACATTTCTGGCCACATTATCTCAAATCTAGAACACTAAGGTCCATTGCTGGGTCCATCTCAATATGATCTGATTCCTGTAAGACAATAAAAGTGAAAATAAATCAAAATGGAAAAACCAGTACGGCGACAAAGAGAGACATGACATTTCAGTTATAAATCCAGGTGTGGCAAAATCAGTTTGACCATAGTCAATTATAGCTTAACATAATCAGTAGGCAGTAATCAATTAATACGTTTCGACTCTAGCTAGAGTCATCTTCACTAAAGTAATAAAAATCTGTTTATCTTCTTTTTTATCAAGCTGCGTGTTTCAAATTCTAAACCAAAATAGCTAAATGTCGATAAACTGGACAACCTGTGGTATCCAGTTCGTATAGCCATTTCGTTTTGGCCTCGTTCAATTTCAAGACGAATCTTAGCCTCTCCAGGTTTGCCTTGTGGGTTTAGAATACAAAAAGGCGATGGAAAACATTGTGGTATTTAGTTCAAGAAATATAGGTTGAAATTGAAGTAAATTTGGAGAGGAAATAGATAACTTCTATCTTGACGTAAATTGTTTGTCAAGATAAAGGGTTTTAAACACATCATCCTTGTAAAATATACATAAACTGTATATGAATTTAAAACTGTCACTAAAAGTATCAGAAAAACTAAAGTCCAGTCGCAGAATATCTTAAAGAAATGTTTTATTCATTCCCAACATTTTATGTTCTAAAACCATACCAAAGCTCTAATACTTGCAAAAATTGTTTGAACACCTACAAAAACTTCGCAGTTGTTTCTCTTTCCATCATACAATGTTTTCATAAGTTTAAAAAAAATCTGACTGGCAACAGGTGCACAAACGACTATGCTCCTTCCTAGTGTTGGCTGGTTTTTAGAACTGCAAATCTTGGCAAAAAATGCTGAGACACTTTCAAAAAAAGAAGGTCACCAGCGCACATTATATGAAGATATAGCACGCGAATTCCCTTTCCGTTCATAAGTCTCAGCTATTTTTTGCCAGGGGTGTGGGTACAAATTGCCCAAAAGACCAAATCGAAAGCTTTTATTCGTCATATGTTAAACAACAGTGTAATAGCTACGATATCTAGGAAAACCAAAACTATCATAAGAAATACCTCAAACAGCGGGGGTTCCTTTGGATGAGGGTGGAATCCCGTCTTATTGCATGAGCCTATGAAGGACATTCCGTGGTTGGATGTCAATCGGTAAACCCCAACTCTGTATGGAAGAGGTTGAAAATTAGTCGAAAGCTATACATCATACATTGAACATAGATTTTGCTTACAACACACAATGAACATTGATAGGCAAGTTATTGAAGATAGGATTGCCTAAGCTGGAAGTGGATGAGAAGTGGGGAATATTACGTGTCTGGGATAACGTTTGCAAACTTGAAGGAAAATGTCTTGCAGTCCCTGATATCATGCACATTCTACTCTCTTGATACCTCAATGATACAGTCGTGGCTATTTATCGGCAATTTTGCATGACAAAAAGTATCTACAGTCTAAAGCAAGACTGACCCACAGGTAACCTAACACCAATGGTTGCTTCCCATACAATATTGAGAATTTCCTTCAGACTATAGGCAGAAAAGAGAAACAGCTCGCTTGGGGCATTTTGTAAGGGCTCCCTGGGAAACAGCTGCAAGACTAGAGAAGGCTTATAAAGAAAAGTTGGGACTATGGATAAAGTCAAATGTATTCTTATTTTTATATGGGATCGCTAGTCATCGAGATTGCAGGAAATGAGTGGAAATATATAGATCTTATCATAAATTATTTTGGCAATGGCTAAAGGGGCACCAATATACATACTGGTCAAACTTGGGTGCACAAACGATAGCTATTGCCTCTGGCATCATTATTTGATACGCGTAGTGAGTATGCAGATCAACACTTGAAAGGAAGCTTGTCTGGGATGGATGCGTCTAGAAGAAAACAAACTTCAGTTGATATGATAAATACACTAAAATTTCAAGCTAACATATTTTTAACTTTAGCCAAGAGGTATGTTTAATCAAGGTTATAAAAGCGCTCTACAGGACACGTTTGATAATTGTATGAATCAAGGAGAAGCAGAGTTTGTTTGAAGGAGCCTGAATTATAAAGAATATAGAGTCTGAGCAGGGATAGCTATGAAAGGAAACTTATTTGCTTGAATAGAGAAAGTTCAAATTATAAAGTAAACGAGCTCCACGAGTCGTTAATAATGCTGTTATATTGAGTAAGTTAGACGCTCAATTTGTTTAGCGTCGGTAAAGTGAGTGGAGTGAGTTTGTCTGATTATAAGGTAGTATAATTACTCGTATTTTCATTCATAACGAACTTATTTTCTAAAATTGCAAGAATCATATTGAGGTACACATAAGTGTGACATAAAGGCAACTGACCGATATAAAAGTGGCTTTAGCCACCTTTCAATCAATATTAGCCAATTAATACGCGTGTGAGTTGAATATCACTCACTGATTGGTCAATAATTTTTAAAAGCAGGCTAAAGCTCTTGAGTATCTGTCTATTGCCTTTACAAACATTATATTAAATGTGACGCATTATCAAAATAGGTATGACCGTTCACCTATGTGATATACAGTTAAGGGGTGAGCGAAATACGTAATTGAAGGTATGGGCGACGTAGAACACATGTCAATCCTTTAAAACAAAATATCTTACAATCCCTGGTAATACATGAATGTAGCTAGTGTTGGTAGATACCCCCGTGACTTTATTATAATGTAATCTCTTATATATCGTGTTCTGTTATTTTAATTCATTCTGTGATAGTTCTTATATCCGAGTGACCAAAAGAAGTATTCTCTCTGAGTTTCGACTACGGCCACACTAGCTGTATATAAACATGCAAAACCCTCCTGGATGTCTCGCCTGGCATATATTTACACACCCTTGGTGTTTAATGGATATACGTACACACAGAGCACACAATTAACGCATCTAAGAAATGCTACAAAAAGGATGCTAGAATCATTGTGGTTAGAAAACATACATGAATCCATCCAAGCGTCACTAAATCATACTTGTCTTGAACTTCAAACATCTCTTCCTCATTTGTAGTTGTACATGAATCCGGGGTTCCAGTTTGTTTGGGTATTACTAAGTGTGTTATTTGGAATACATTTTTCGCCTGTTGATGAAAATGTCGTCATTTTAACTCTATTCCCCGTAAATTCTCATAAGACAAGGGCATATTTGCAGTTGAAAGAGTGTACACACACAGATGAAAAACTTCAGTTTTGAAGAACCCACGGTCTGAAGTTGATAGTATGGAAATAAGACAAATTTCAGTCTGATGTCTTGAACATTGGTACTTAACTGGTGATCAAAAGCAGAGAAAAAAAGAAGGATCAAGAAGGTACTAGATTTTAACCTACAACATCAGCCGATTTTAACCTGGTCAATAGGCCGTTAGCCGGGTTCTCAGAGAATTGCAATGAAGATAACAAAGCAAAGTAGGCAAGAACAACGGCCCCGATAAAAAATCATACAGGATCCAGTTTAAGGATCTGTGCATGATCCTGGTGAAGCATCCTACAGAATCCTTTTCCAGATCCTGTACAAGATCCTGTAGGATCTTTATGGCTCCTGTAGGATTATTGGTACGACCTTGCATAGAATCCTAAATATTTTGTATGATCCTATGAGTCCTTGTATGATCCTTCCAAAATGTTTTATACAAATTAGAAAGGACGACAAATTATAGAGGAACAGTCAATTTCAAAATAAAAGCACCGTCACAAGAGAAGCTGAAAACGGTGAAATTAATTATATAGCTTGCCAATTTTCCTGCGAGTATTCCGCATGTTTCGACATTTCGCAATGTGTTCATTGATGCTAGGCTTAAAAATCTGCTAACGATCGCTTGTGGTACATGAATTCTTCGTAAACCACTAATTGAACTTGAAACTAAAATAACAAAAAAGGAAGAACGTGAAGCACTTATATATCGTTACATTGGCTTGCCTTGATGATAAAAATTCAATCTCAGTAAGACACACTCTAAGGTCTTCAGGGGATGAGCCTAGGTTTTCATTTAAACTTTTTTACTTGGCGAATCAGATCCGCCAATGGAAAATATTAATCATGTTGCAGAAGAAACTTTCAGGGGAAATGCTTCCTTATCAATAATATCAAACATAGTCTACAATCCTGGCCAAAAAGTTAGTGGATTGGAGAAAAACCAAAAGCGCAATTTTACCCCGAAAATGTCATCAAAACCCCCACCCTTGCAGCAATGTTGGTTTTTTGGAAAACACCCAAGTTATAGCAATCGAAATGTGTAGAAATAAGCAAGTCAACATTGCCTGATGGGGTGGGGAGTGTATTTTGTTTTCAAAAAGACTGCAATTTGCCAGCCAGTTTAATAACTTTTGACCAGGATTGTAGTTAAAAACATAATAAAGTTTTCCTATTAAAAACATATCAACAAAAAACAAGCACAAAATACCATTCAAAAATTTTCATTGCATTTTACTTCGAAGTATCAAGCTGTCAATGAATTGTCTAAAGCCAGAAAGATACAAAGATGATACACTTACTTTGACGATCGAAAACCGAGTTTGGTTTAGTTGTTCTATCCACCGTAGGAGTAGAGCTGCAATTTATGATAATCAAACATAAATCCTTAAGAAAACAGAAATATTTTCTTAGGTGTAGGGTTCCTTTTCATGTAGTATAAGATTACTCCCCATCCGAACTCCACTGTCCATTTTGTTAAAAATGAATAGAAATCTAACTGTTGCTTCTGTTGAAACTACATGCGTATCCATGAAAACAAAGGCAAATGACCAAATAATAAACGAAAGACGAGAGTTAAAATGGCTAAAGTGGCATAGCAAGTATGGATAAGTATCAAACAAGAAAGCTGACACGATTATAGAATATATTCTATACGTGCATTCTAGCTGTTCATTTCAACTGGAAGGGGCAAAAAAGATCTTAAAAAGAAGTATGATCTGGCATCCTTGACGAATAGTACTTGATACTTCGAAATGAGAAAAGTTACCTTGGTCTCAGCTCACTTGTAAACTGGTCTGTTGATGTTGGACGTCTTGTGTCAGCTGCAGCCAAGTCGTCTTGATTATAAAAATAGTCCGAAGGGGGTGAGTAGGGTGGTGGTGGAGCATCAGGTAAGGCAGACTGATCGTTTACAATGTCAATGTTTTTAGGGGCTGAAGGGTAGTCTTCTTCTATATGTAGAGTAGGTGGGGGTGCAAGTGGCGCGCTGGGTTGGGGAAAGTTTTTCCCACTTTTCTGTTGCGATGATAATTGTTCAAGCTGGCGTTTTCTCTCTTCTTCTTCTTTCTGCTTTTGCTGTAGTTCTACTTCTTTCTGTTGCCTAATTTTGTTTTCTTCTTCGGCCTGTTTGAAAATAACACAAATTATGTGTATCGGTAATACACAGAATAATAAAATGGTGTGCATTATTGTAAATTGCAGCTCTCGTATTTCGATCGCAAAAAAGAGTATCATCTTTGTCGTTTTATAGCTTCAGTAAAGGGGTAAATTGATGTAGGCTCCAGCTGTAAGATGGACACAAAAGGTCTGTACATTTGTCACAGCTGAGCTTTCTTGAAAAAAAAACTAATAGCAAGGCGATTGACTATATTTGAATTTTGCTTGGGTCCCAAGTTCCAGACCCTGCTAGGATCCATACATTTTTTATTTCATTGTCAACTGCATTTTATCTCCTTTGAACTTTGAAAACATGTGCTGAAATCTGCACCATCTCTTGTTGTTACCTTATGAATAGCTACAGATTAAACAGGCAGCTAAAAGTATTGTTAAGCGAAAAGGGAGGTCCAATAAATCATAGCCCTGAGCACAAATCGCTATATCAATAATCGTTCAAATGTTTCACTTAGTCTTTAACTGACAGTCTGGTAAAGAAGAAAGGTCCTTGCTTCCCCTGCAAAGGTGTCAGGGAAATACGAGAAATCTGAACCCAAGAGCCTGGCATGTAGCTGGATTAAAATTAAGCTACATTGATGCGAAATGACAAAACAACATGGAAAAGCAGAGAAATAAAATACTGAAGCAATTATCATCTTACACTCCTTGGCAGTGGCGCAAATTTAGGGTTATGTTTGGGGAAGGCTCAGACCCTTCATTTTCCGACAAGATAACATATTGGATGGGTTCTTGGCAAATATGATTTGTCAAACATTTGTCAATTATTCGACGAATGCCACAATTTTCCAAGCCTGAGCCTCCTGCATGCCCCCATAAATTCTGAACTAGGAATGAAAGATAATGAAGCAAAGGTTAGCAGAAGTTTGTATCCAGATGTAAATCAAAAGAAAGTTGAGATGAAAATGGTATGTTTGAACAAACTCTTTCTGTCTTTACAAAAACTCTCTTATACCTTTTCAATTAACTCATTCTGAAGGTATCAATACAAAATGCAGATCATAGAAGAATCAGGGGTTGAGCCATGTGGAAAAGAAAGCAAGTTCTTTCTTTGCTATCAAAAACTTGTCTCAGTTTACAGGAAATAGTTATCAAGTTGACTTACCCGTTTGTTTTTCTCAAATGTCCATTTGTTGTACTGTTCAGAATATAATTTCTTTATTGTCATTCTTAACTTTTCAGTAATTGGGAAAATCTTTTTGACATTCTGTAACAGATAAAAAAGATAAAAAGTTTTGAAATAATGTTTAAGAGACAGAAGTCTTTGATTGATACAAAGTGTGTCATTTAGTAGAATACAAGTACTACCATTGAAAGACTTGGGTTAAACAGTGTTGGAACTTAACATTGCATCTATAACTAGTAAAACATAAAAGCTACATAGCCACTTAAAGAAAAGCTTCTTAATCATCTTGATAAAAAAACCCAGATCCATCCAAAATAATTCAGAAATATCATATATTGTAAGTTATTACTCTCCTGAAACCATTGAAAATAAAAGCCATTTGCTACTGAAAATACTGGGAAATTTTGTGAAAATACACTAAAGTTTCTCAGTACCTCCATTGTCTTTTTAACTGCAAGAGAATCTGCTTGCTTGTATTGTGGATGCTTTGGAAGCTTCTCAACAAACAATCTATATGGAAACCATTACTTGACAATAATGTCATACTTGCTGATTAAATGTTAATAAAATATATTATTATCAATGTACCAATAGAACATGTACAGCTCTACCTATACAGTATTAAGCACTAATGACAGATAAATTTAGACATTCCTCTCTGGGTATGGCTAAATTTTCCCAGAATGAATTCTAGGTATGCAAAAGGGACAAGCTGAACTTGAGTTGGGGATAAATGTTTACACAAATATTTCACACGATACCCCTAAATTAAGCCTTTTTGAAACAAAGCAAATGTATTTCCAACTCATTCTTAGAGTCACACCAAATTAAAACGACATAGAATAAGAAAACTGAGTCTAATTGAATCTAACAGAACAGTTGGAATAAGAACTGTCTTTAAAAAAAGGTTATGTATAAAGAAAATTTTTATTCAGATATGAAACTTACACTATGTATTTCATGTATAGTGTAAAGGCATTTTCGATGCTCCCTTCACCCAAATAAGTTCCTGCCTGCAAAAAAAATTGAATTTTCAAATAATACAGAAATTTATTTTGCTTACCTAGGGACAGAGCAAGGGGATAGCTGAGGTAATTAGTGATAATCATTTTTTTTAAATTGTTATCATTTTCAATAGTATTTAAATATGTGTAATTGGTAAAAGGGTGAGGCAGTGCGGATGAATGACTTGGCCTTGGGTGATGGCTTGAAAGCAATAGCTCAGTGTTAGAGCACTTGACATACAAAGTCAGGGGTGGTGAGTTTGAGCCTCGCTCAGGTCTGTTGTTTTCCCACACTCTCTATTAGTTGTCTTCAAAATCCTGTTGCCTTTTCAATTAATTTTATCCTCAAACAATATTTTTATGCTAGCACAGAAAAACAGAAACATATCATACTAAAGTACTTTTCATCTGACACTCTAGTATAAACGTTGGATAATGCCCAAAGGCCGGAAAGTGTGGAAGATAATATTTTAAATTAGCGTTTATCATCTTCTCAAACCATCTTAGCTTATGGCAATGATATTATGATTGATAAAATTTTCAAATGAGTTAATACCATTATTCTTTTATTTTTTATACTTGGTTTTATATCTGGCTTCTATCCTTTTTAAGAAACACGGCGTATTTATATTAATCAAGATATATACACAAATTGCAAACTTTCTAATTTGGGTTGGAAACTGCTGCACTCTACAGTTCAGTCTGGCATTTATTTTTCTACTAAGCCATAAAAAATCTTTTTGTCATCTCCAAAGGAACCAGACTACTTTGTAGTTCTCCTGCTTTAAATGACACAGTAGAATGGTTTAACTTTTCTTGTGTTTAGACTGCAAAATACAACAAGACCTCCGGTGTGCAAGATAAAAGCTTTAAGTGCAAGTGTGAACTTTGGTAGAACTGTGCACTTCAAATGTGCACATTATTGCGCAAAACTATGCTAGAGTCTAAAGACACGAGTTAAGAAGCGAAAATGAAAAGATAAGAGAAGGTAGGCCTAATTATTAACAGTAATTTCTTATTATTAAAACAAATCAAGTTTATGTAATTCTTTATTTTCCATAAGCAATAGGTTATACCCATTTCACACCCAGATCTCAAAGTGACATTTACCTAGAAAGGGACATTACCTAGAAAATATATTGGGTGTGCACTTGCCATACTCGGGGCAGACTCTGGTTTTTATAAGGCCTTGAAAATACTTGTGTTAAAGAAAGTATAGCCTACCATTCTCTCCAGCTCAACGCCAGATCTAAAATATCTTTTTGTAGGAATATTTTTGTCCACTTGGACATTATCTGCAAGACTTGAGAGCAATTTGAATCTTGCTTCCGGATCCAGGGAATGGTCATCATAAGCAGCCATGTTTGAATTTCGCAAAAGAATGTAAATCATGAGATTGCTGACAATGCATGTATCGCTCGAACGAGGCAACAGCATCATGTCTAACTGAAAAGTGTTTTTGTGACTTCAGGCCATTGTTTATATTTTTACAATATCATGGATCCTGACATCAAAAGCCTTATGTGCCAAAGAGACAAGTGGTATGGTGATGCAATCGAATATTGGAAGGTAATTTTTCACTTTTGTTTTTCTTAAACCGAATTCTTTAAGATAAATTCAATTTTTTCTGGGCCGGTTTCTGTAAATGAAATTGCATTTTTAGAGATAATAATCATGCCAATGCTGTTTTTAGAAAGTAGAGAACATAAAGTGAATTGATTTAGCTTAGCTGCTTTTGCTAAAGCAACCTATTTCCTTTTTCTAGGAAGTTTCTGCCGATTTAGATGGTATGCTTGGAGGATATGAAAAGATTTCTCCAATTGAATTAGATGCGTCAAGAAAATTCCTTGCTGAACTAAAGGTATTACCTGGTGTAAAACATTTCTTTGCTATGTAAAATGTTTTTGAATTGAGATAATTGCGATGTTTTGTGCATGGAACCAAATTTTTGTTAAGATTTTTTCCATGTAACCTTATGTCCTAAATTTCCTAGTGTGCCCAAACTATTTGAACCATTTTTTCAAGTAAAATCTGGTTGCTAAATTCAGATTTAAATGTGTCTAAATTTGCCTTTATCCATTATTTTAAAATGAAGGCTATTTCGAAAAAGATCTGACCTAAACTGAACTGCTTATCTACACATTTTTCAATTTTTTTTGCTGAATTAACTTTAATCAACAGTTTTTTATTTAATGTTTCTTCATGTGATGTGTACTATGCGTTATATTCCATTCAGTTTAAATTTTCCAAACAGTTTAAATTTGGATTCAATTTTGGCTTACCATTTAATTCAAATTTTATTTCTAGAAAAAGTCAATTTGGACATCTGGATGTGAAAGAGCATTAGGTGTGCTTTGTTTAGAATTTTTTCTAATCAAACTATTACAGCTGTATAGCAGCTTGAAACTGAAGCAATTTTAGCTAGCAGTTGAGTTATACTTTGCTAAAATAACCATTATAGTATGCATTTCAAGCCCCCAGCTTTAGTGCTGTCTTACAAAAAGCTAAAGAAAATTGAATAGAGGCAGACAAACCAAAGCTTAGTCCTGTATTCTAGAACTTCTATTGAATACTTTGCTTGCATTAGATAGTTTCAGAAGTTTGTTGTTAACAATTTTAATTCTTCGAGATTCTAATCAAAAGTTCTTGCTTTAAAAGATTGTGGGGCTGGAATTGGCAGAGTTGCAAAACACTTACTGATTCCAGTTTTCAACAAAGTTGATTTGCTGGAGCAAAATGCTAATTTTCTGACAGCTGCAAACAATTATTTGGTATGTGACTAGAGTTTGAGCAATATGCAATATATGGATGTTAAGGGTTATTCTAACTTTCCTTATGAATTGATTAATTTGTACCCAAAGGTATGGCATATGTTTATCATATTATAAAGGCATGGAATTTGTTTTGCGCACAGTAATTTTTTCTGGCATATATATGCTTTTTATATAGAATGTGGCTAGAGTTAACAATTAACTCTTATGCTAGTTTTGGTTCTGTGTCAATACCTGGAACTTTGAAAGGGTGTTCTGTGTCAATGCAAGCAGTGTTCTCCTACTTGGAAAATATATTCAGAACTCAATTTATGATAACAACAGTGCAAACATTTGCATATTTGAAATAGTATTTTATCCTTGACTCTTCCTAACCTTGGTCTTTTTTCATAGCCCTACTAAACTTTTCCACCAAGAAAAAAAAGCTATAATTGTATTCTTATGTTTAATGCTGTGCTTTTTCTATGCTCTTTGTTTCTCCAGCTCTATTTATATATCTCCAATGTTTATTGTTTACATTTTTTCATATAACTACCTTTGCATATTGTTTACTTGCTATTGATCAGAGTGGAAACAGTGAAAAAGTTGGCAACTTAATTCCAGAAGGCATCCAAGTAAGCAACTTTTGTTCAGTCTATTTTGCTACTGGTTTGCCACTTTCACCCATGCAAATAACTTTGTAGGTTGTTGAAAATGATCTTTTTCATTTGACTGGCATTTAGTTTGTTGAGATGATGTTAAACTAAGGCAAATTTTAATATCCAGCATATACAATTTGTAAATGTTCTTTCAACAGTGTCATAAACATTGTTCTGTTTATTTTGTCTTCTTCTGAAATTGTAATTGCAAGACCAATCCAAAAAGCAGTTTTTGATTAAAGTTACTTTTATACTAGATCTATCTTTTCAAATTTGAGTGAGAATGTTGAATGGGAGTAAAAGCTTTGTGTCAATGAAATTAAAGGGTCTAAAGCTCTGCTTGCACTTCATTTCTGCCCTTGATTGTTTATGAATGCAGTTTATGGCTTCATTGCATGAAATTTAACATTGAATCAAGGTATATGAAATTCATTTTTAGATTATAGACCTTGTTACTGATTTTCTTTCAAGGAGAGCTATACTATGCCTATAATGTACTTCAAAATGGGGGAAGTGAAAGCATATTGAAAACCAACACAAAGTGTCATTTAAAGTTATTGTTAGTTGAAGTTTGCAAGAGGCTCACAAACTTTTCAGAATTTGCTTCCATGGGGCAAAGGAGCAGAGAATCAAGATCACAATCATTTTGCATGTGTGAGCATTGCTCTTATTCTCCTTTTCTTCTGTCCCTCTGTTCTTGATTTTCTCAGATGATTAGTTAGAGAGCTAGGAATTTTTATAGTTTTTCATTATTTTAGGATTTCAAACCGAAGGAAAAAATGTATGACATTATTTGGTTTCAATGGGTAGTTGGACATTTAACTGATGGTATATAGTTCTTTGACCTTTTTGGAATTTGTTTTAGTTTAATAATGACAGAGGATTGCCAAGTTATTGTTAGGTCAATGAAGTGGTTATGTTTAATTCTGTTGCATATTCATTACTACCACCATTCTTTGAGAGTTATGACTCTAGAAAATAAATTATTAAGATTACATTACCCATTTTTGGCGATATTCTTTAAGACTCTCTCTATTCACTTTGCCAGTGAACAAATTTGATACACAGTTATTTCACTCTTTTAGCAACCTTAGAAGAAGCTAATAAGTGCTGTCAAGCTGTCATTGATTTATTCAACAATGCCTCAAATTTGGCACAAAATTCCAAATAGCCATTAGTATACTTGTATTAAGCAATACACCCTTTTCTACATGCAGAGATACCATTTTTGCACTATAGAGCCCTTTTTTGTATTTGTCTGACAGGGGGCTTGAGGTACTCATTTGACTACATAGATTTTTGCATTACATCCAAAATACATAAGAAAATGTTGACGAAGGGAAAGTGTTTTGCCAAATTATTCTTCTGTTACACGATACTATGGTTTGAAACTTCTGATATGTAGCTTAAAATTAGTCATGGATGTTCCTATTAGTAAAACTGGCATTTCCTGTTGGTATAAGGAAAGTAAAAATGGCCTAACCACAATACTTTTATTTTGTGTTCTTTAAAGTCAGGGTTTAAGGTTGCAATCATGTTAAAGGTGTTAACAGATAGTTTATTATTTAACATTTCCAGATGATTTTGTGACAAGCTTGCAAAGATTCAAAGATAGTCTCAAAAATGGGGGGTTGATATGCATCAAAGATAATGTTGCTGGTGGTGAAGCAGTTTTTGACAACAATGATAGTAGTGTAACTAGGTAAGATTTTCTCTCAGACATTTTTCTACGTAGAAAAAGCTCAAGTATTCTGATATGAATGAATTTGTAGAAAATACTATAAATCTGCTTATGATCTACTATGAAAATTTGAATGAGTAGATTGAGCAATTGAAACTAATGTTTTAAGTTTTCCAAAGTACATAAATTTATTTACATTCATGCAATTTTAAACTACATTATGCAATTGATAATGCTGTTACATCATAAAAAATATTCAGTTTTTTTCTAATTTGCTTTATTTTGTAGGTTATGATAAGTATTAAACAGTACTGTACTGGTTTCCCTCACATCCTCTTTGTTTCTTTATAGAACTCATGAACAATTTGTGAAAATATTTAGAGCAGCAGGTCTGACAATTCGACTAAAGGAAACGCAAAGAAATCTACCAAGAGAACTTTACAAAGTGAATATGTGAGTTTGAGCTTTACATATGTAAATCTTAGAATATAGTATAGTTTATTTTAGTAAATTTTAAATAGATGTATGTATACAATCGCTAAATATTTCCTTGTGTTAACATATAAAAAACATCGAATAAGATACATCTTTATCTAATAACGAGCTATGTAAGTTATATCTTTATCTAATAATCATTCCTTTTTTCCCAATATGTCATAAAGAGTTTGCTGCTGTTTAGACAGAGTTGTACATAATGCTGGGAACTGTTGCCTGCAGATCGCATTAAACGTGAAACTTGAAACCTCAAACATAATTATTCTGTTCTATTCATAAAAGTGTGAGCAGCTTTGCCCAGACGGCATAGAGCACTATTCCACAGACTTTAAGATAGTAATTTTCATCATTTTAATATCTTTATCTTCTAGGTACGCCTTGTCTTGATAACTGTATACAGCAATAAAAAGACGACTGACTTCATGAGATCATTCCAGAAATGGCAAGACAAAAAAATAGTCATTCTTACAATCATGGTCGCGTATACTGTGAAATTGATAACGCCTGGTGCGTTAAACGATTAAAGTAATCAGAGATACGAAACACTTAAACTGAGTTGGCCTTTCATGTTGAGTATATTTTGTCAATTGAATACGAAAAGTAGGATGAGTAAATTGTTAAGTAAATTGGTACCAAAAGCGTATGCTTAACCCTGCATCTTCTCCAAGAAAACACCCGCATTACCCTCCAAAGGATTTTCTTTACTTAGGTGTTTATTTTTACTATCTACCTATATTTTCATTTTTTCTTCAGTACCGTTGGAACGGAATTCATATTTGGGGGGACTGTCCATTGTATTCCTTCTCATTCAATACAATGTAATAAAGGAAGTATACTACAGTTTGACCATCATTAGGGGGGCTCTAGCCCGTATCCCCAGTCCCCCGGTTCCGACGGCCCTGTTCTTGGAAATATTTGATCTCCGATCCTGCGAAGAAAAAGTTCCTTAAGAATACGAAAACCTAGTAATTAAAATAACATATGCAGTATAACCCTGTATCTACATTAAATATATCATTTTATGATGAGCTGAACGTTTTGCTGGAAATTTTAGGCTATTTAAAATTACATCAGGACTTGTAGACTATTGAACATTATATTTCTTTAAGCAATAGGCAATAGACAATGTTTATGAAATACAATTGTTAGCTAGAAAGTATGACGTGGCTAAATATATGCATTTAGAAGTTTTAATACAGTACCAAGTAGTTAAAATACATGAATCTAGAAGTTCTACAAAAGTACCACTTGGTTTAGATCTATGAAGTTTTATATTTTCGTTTGTCTTTACCCAGTAATAGTGCGATGTATGAAATTTTATTGATAGTGTCCCATATTTCCAGAACCAGTACAGTTCTTTACTGTTTTCTGCTGTAATTTGAATTCTGTTGTTAGTGTATTAAATACCTATTATTGTTTAAATTGTAATTAAGTCAGATTTTAAGCCCGGGTTTCGTTTGTATTTTCGTATTTGCTAGTTATATGTAATTTATGTTTCACTTTAAAAACCACTGTCAACCAACAAAGCCGCCTTATTTATGCTAGCAATTCCCTTTTCCCTCTTTTTTGTTGTTGTAGGTTTAGCATTAGATGAAATAAACTTAATCGTGAAACTTTCCCAACATTAGCTGTTTATCGAAAGTTTCTTTTCTATTGAAGTTTCTTCTCAATGTTTGCTATTGGTCATGAGTCGCAGCTTGAACTTCAAATTGGAGAAACAATATAATAGGGAGATGCTTAGAAGCCTTAAGGATAGCCTAAACAAGGGAGGAGAGGCTGAGAAAATAGGGGAGGTTGGGTCATGATTGTTGATTTTGAAAGAATCAGAATTTTGAAAGAAAGACAGCAGTGGCGATGCCAAGAGGTGGTATGGAGGGGTAATTACCCCCCCCCCCACTTTTGTCGAAACATGGTCTACATATTTCGTCTAAAAACGGATTAAAAAGCACTAGGTAGGGGTAGATCATATTTCCTAAGGAAATTTGACCTGATACAAAGCACTGAAACGAGGCAGATAGGGCGTTGTCTCATGGGCAACACCCATTACCCTCCCACTCTGCAGTAGCTGGCACCGCCACTGGAAAACAGGCTATATGAATCTGGGAAGCACGAGTAAATATTCAAATGTTGACAACTCTAGAAAGGGAAAATGAGCCTGGTGAAAAGTGCTAGCCCTCTGGCCCTCCTTTTGTGCAGCCGATGTGAAAAAATGCTCTCGTATGAAGTATTTTAGGTTAATCCTTGATTGAACAAAGCAGTTTAGCAATATATAAAGACAAAAAGACATAAAATGTTAGTGCCAAATATTGCCATTCTGAACATTTTAGCTGCTATTTTGTTATCTTGCTTGAGCTTGGTATGACCATAAAATAAAGTGAAGAAAAAACAGAAATGGCCATAGATTCAAATTTCGATACCAAACTCTGTAAGAATGTCAATTTTGACTCCATCCTCTGCCCATGGTACTTAGATGTTAGGTCTCGAGGTCGAGTAAGGTGTCAAAGGTCAGATATTTGCAAGGTCTATTGCAACCTCGTATTCGATGTCTTTGCATTGGTCTCAGTTGTCAGTGGCCTGATCATTCCGCGAGTAAAGTGGACGAAAGAAATATTTCAATACAGAGTTCTCCCGATTTATGCAAAGCTTGGACAGGTACATAAATATGTTTTCAAACTGAATGACAGTTAGATCTTTCTTACTTTTCTGTATAAGTTTGATACCAAATGTTTGCTGTAACCAGTTGTTAATTGCAAGGATGCCATGGCCTAGAATTCTCATTTCTAGAAATGAGAAGGTGAAATTTTAATTTAACTTACACCAAATCGCCTATACCATGTTTCTCGAGCTATCTAAGTGCCAATCATTTGGAATTTTTTTCTTGTAATGTAGCTTTATCAATACGAGAGTCACTTCTCTTGTCTTATTTTAAAGGTAGGCTGTTGTGGTGGGCGTGACTTTTGTATATGTCTATATGTATTTGTATTTGTATTTCGTATTTGTTGCTACCTAGTATCCGAAGGTAGTTTTTAGGCACTGAGAAGCTATGCTTATCGAGCAGTGCCCTGGTCCTTCCTCTCGATGTGACCACACCTTGTGATTCCTACGCCTGGAATTACAGAGAGCTGGCGACTCTCCCCACTCTGGGTGAAAGTTTGGTCATGCCAGGAACTCGAACCACGGACCCTTGGGTCTGTAGTCAGCGCCTCTAACAACTGAGCCATCCTCGCACCTTACATAAGAAAAAAAGGTGCAGGCCTTTTCACCTAGGAAAATAAATACTGCCCATGGCTATGTCTGAACATGTTTTGTTTTTGCCATGTCCATTAACACTGGTGCTTGTGTTTCAACGAAACAAAAGTGCAATTAAAAATATTGCAGAATTAACAGAAAAACCTTGTCTTTGATGCAAGCCAACATAAATTCTTTGATTGTGGCAATTTTGTTAACAGCAAAGAACAGTTGATTTAATGAAAACAATAAATGGTGTTATTTCTGGTGCATAAAAACATCAATTTCTAGTGCCCCTAGCCCTACAGAAAACCTGTGGGTACAAGGATGATCATAAAGTCTTATAAAGGCTAGGTTTTTCTAATTGAGCCATCTTCATTTTTAATAGGTCCTTTTCCTCTCAACATTTTTATAAATTCGTCTGTTCTATTGATTAATATTGAAACTTGCTGTATATAATTTAGATTTTAAATAGATCCCAGTCTATGAGATTTTCAATTAAAATATTGGCCTTAGTGCTTGCTATCTTATCAAAAGAAAAATTACCCAGGAAATTCTACTAGATTTCTTGCTCAAATTTGATGCAATTGTTTTGCACATGATATACCTGCCTTCAATTTTATTAGTTCCGTGTTTTTAAATTGAGAGTGCAAGACTTTTCAGTTCACAGGAACAACCAATTCATAGCCCTAAAATTGTTGATTTTTAGCTGGATGCTAGTCTGACTGGAAACATGGATTCAAGTGAAATGTCAATTGTGCCAAAGATAAATCATTTGTTGGAGCTGGACCCTTATCTCTGCCCTTTTAAGGGAGAAATAGAGAGGAGGTATGCCTATTAGTTTGTTATATTTTGTCTTTCCAGTCAATGCTATATGGCACCAAAGTTTTAGATGGCCAGCCATCTAAGAATCTATAAAGGTGGCCAGCCAACAATCCCAGACATATGGTGTCAAATTTTCATCCTCTTCCCCCAGTTCAATGTTGATACCCCTCATATTAAAGCATATATATATATATATAGGTGTTGTAGGAGGTGGTATATATATATAGGAGAGGGTTAGATTTTACACTATACATGCATAAGACACACAATGTTTTTTGGGTTCATCCCAACTAGTGTGTCCAAGATTGTATACCAAATCTGTAGTTCTTTTGTATGTCTGTAGACTGTGGTTAAGCCTACACAGTGTCAAAAACAGTGAAACAATTCTTGTAAGGAAATTAACTGGATCATTTTTGAATAGTTGGGTTACATTGGGAAGCCAGTTGATTGCATGAACACAGTTTGCAAGATTCTCAAGGAAGAGTTGGAGAAAGATAAATTGTGAAAAAATAATGACAGTTTATTTCCATGTTTATATGTATCCCATAAAAATTAATCAACTCTGAGAATATTGTTTAGAAGCAGTAGAAACAAAAGCATGATTATTGGAAACAAATAATTTCTAGAAAGTCCCCTAATATGCAAATTTTTAACAAGAGCCCTCTAAAAGAAGTTGTATTCATTGCCCCAAATAAGAAAATGGTTATGCTGTTAGAGGGTAGCTGATGCTAGAATAGTCACCAAAAGTGACAGTATGCAGGGACAGTATGTGGGGATGGTATGAAGAGACTATACATGGAAGTTTTAAGACAAAAATAAATGTTTTTAGGAAGCAAGAAGAATGATAATAATAATAATTATTGTTATTAGCATTGTTATTATTATCATAACTTTATTAAAGTGTCATACATCTTTAGCAATGATACTTATTGGGACACATTTTAGCCTATTTACATATATAGTGAGTTAAAGAGAATAATTTTTTTTATCATATATCAAAGAAACGTCAGTTATTCATTACAATACTTACATTATCCATTGCAACTATCTGTAACTATGCTCGTTAGGTGTAACGTTCTCAAACTTGTACGGAAAGAATTGAATCAAGGTTTTTCCCTGTAACCCATACCATTTAGAACAAAGTCGAGGGCCAAGATATCTTATGGAATGTTTACCATGATATGGAACGGAAAGTAAGATGTAGAGATTTTAAATCAAGAGCTCTAAGATAGTTTGAGCACTCGATTTGATACATCTGGTCCGGTATTAGATGGTTAAGAAGACATAAATTATTTATATGCCTTATGCTTATTTAGATATTCTGTGATGAACTCATTTCTTGCTGGAATCAATAAGCACGAGGGTGGAATGGAAAACTTCACAAAGTCGTACCAAAGATATGGTCTAAGAAGAGCAGAAAATGGAATTTTATGCAGAGAATGGTGCCCTGGTGCAACTGCTGTTTTCATTACTGGAGAATTCAGTATGTTTAATATATTTATGCTCAAATCCTGATACTATAAATTCTACCAAACACCTAACTAGCAAGCTACTTTTATATAGTATTTAAACCTATATTGGAAAAAATATTTTTGATTCAGCGAAGTTATGAAATATCTATTGTACTCTTTACATTTATCATCTTAACATTTCTAAGGGGATTGATGTGCTTTATACTAAGAAATATTTCATACCAATGGCAGCATTTGTTGAGAAATGTTGTTGCATCATGCAATTTTGTTTCTGAAGAAACAAATGTATGAATGTATGTATAATTTTGCCATCAAATAAAATTACAATTTAGAATTAAGAAAAAGGAGAAGATCTAATTACAGATATATAAAATTTACAGATAAAAGTTATGATGAGAAACAGGGATTATGTTATTATTTAATTGATATTAATTATAAAGACTAACATGTGTTAACTCATGATTTCAGATGAGTGGAATAGAACTTCTCATCCTCTCACAAAGCGAGAGTTTGGTGTGTGGGAATTATTTCTGCCAGACAAGGAATTTGGTACAGAACCAGTCAAGCATGGGTCAATGTACAAGGTAAATTTTTTTGTCTGAAATCCCAAAGTTTGTTTGATAGTTTGAAATTTTTATTACGTGTTTCCTAAGGTAGTTTAAGGCAGGAAACTGAGAAACTTTGCATATTTGGCACTGTCCTGGTACTTGATCTTGATGTAACCACATCTTGTGTTTTGTTATCCTTGGAATTGCAGATAGCTGGCAAGTCCTATCAGTGGGGGACACAAACCCCAGGTCCTTTTATCTGTAGTCCACAACCCTAACCATTTATCCATCTCCACACAATTGCTGATATTTCTGTTGATTTGTTCCAGAATTTATTTGTATCATAATTTTAATTCATTCTGAAAGGTATTTAGGAAAATCACAAATTTACCTTCATAATGTTATTTTATGAATAAATTATTTTTTCTGTTTTATTTTGTATTTTATGCTAGCTTGGGTAGACCAAATCCTGTTGAACATTAACTCTCACTTTTTGAAGTTTTTTCCCATCCACAACAGTCCATGTTAAGTCAGGAAATTTTAAAGTTATATAATTTTTGTTTTATTGTGATTATGGCCTTGTTGTATCTTCTAGTTAATAATAAAAGACAAAAAAGGCACCGAACTTGAAAAAATATCTCCATGGGCAACATATGTGGTGCAAAACAAGGAGACTAAATTGATGGAGCCAGTATATTGGAACCCTGTGCAAAAACACACTTGGCAATATTCAAGACCAGGGAAGGTAGACAATTTACGAATCTATGAAACACATGTTGGAATCTCCTCAGAAGATTATGCAGTAGCCTCCTATACACATTTTAAAGAAAAGGTCATACCTCATATTCTGTATCTTGGTTACAACTGTGTTCAAATAATGGCTATAATGGAACATGCTTATTATGCCTCGTTTGGATATCAAGTAACAAGTTTCTTTGCACCTTCAAGGTAACACTGTTACTTTTCCACTTTGCTGACTTTGATGTTGTTTGAACTAGATTGCCTGTAATGAGAGTACCCAACATCTATCATAAAACTTTTTTTAATTGACTTAAATGGTTTTGCTTTAAAAACATGATTCAAATTATCACAGGAGTACAGATAAATTTTTACTAGTATCACAGATTTTGCTGAACCCATAACACGCTGCTTGCTGAAGAAAAATAAAGTCCTGTTGGCTATAATTATTGCTCTTTCAAGAGAGCTTTCGTAAATGTAGCTACTGTAATCCTCCAATTGGCCTTCCTCATATAAGCCCCCCCCCCCTTTAAAGTAGACATTATTTGATATACTGAATGAAGAATTATCCTAATCATGTTTTCAATATATATACATTTTCAATGAGGCTATATAACGTCTTGTACGGAATCTTGGTAGATCTTTGAAAAGAAGAATTTTCCCAGAGTCTTTCTAAATCAAAGTGATTTCATTATTGTGGGTTTCAGTTTCTTTGCAGCTCAGTTTCTCTTGAGTTCCTTCCAGAAAGACAAAGCCCATAAATATTTTCTGTAAGAGAGGATAAAGTTTTTGGTTCCCACCTAAGATCCCCCAATAACTTTATCATTGTAGCTCTATGCCCAATAGATATTCGTACCAGCTCCAAATGATTGCATCTTGTTTTTTTTATCAATCTAACTGTTTTATATTCACTTGCAGCCGTTTCGGAACACCGGAAGAGTTTAAAGAGCTCGTTGACGAATGTCACAAACATGGCATTGTTGTCTTGCTAGACATCGTGCACAGCCATGCATGCAAGAACGTTTTGGATGGACTTAATCAGTTTGATGGCACAGATGCAGGTTTCTTTCACAGTGGGCCTCGAGGATACCATCCTCTTTGGGACAGCAGACTGTTCGACTATAGCAGGTATAATGCTGCTTATTAACCATAATCACCAGGGTCTGACGTCAGCAATGGATGAATTTTCGACAAAAAATGGCCTACATTATTCTTTAATTATTGATAAATTGTACTGGGTAGGGGGAAGATTCGCTTTGAGAAAAACATTGTTAAACGTTTTATGCGTCAGTAGTTATGCAAAAAGGGCTTGTTCGTAAAAAAGCTCTCACGGGCTACGCCCATTACCTTTACCCCCAATACAAAATTCTGCTGCCTCCACTGAAAATTGCACTTTTCGGATTTGCAATAAATCAACCTTTTCTCTTTCTATAGCCACGAGGTGCTGCGTTTTCTGCTTTCAAATTTGAGATACTATATGGACGAGTACATGCTAGATGGCTTCAGATTTGACGGCGTTACGTCAATGTTATACCACAATCATGGCTGTGGGCATGGCTTCAGCGGTGACTACAGAGAATACTTTGGCATCCACGTCGATACTGAAGCTTTGAATTACTTGCAGCTGGCGAACTACATGCTGCACGATTTGTACCCCAGCGTCGTGACCATTGCAGAGGTATTTATGATTTTGAAGCACTGTTGTAGGGCTTTCTGAAGTGTTTTATATTTAATGCGGCTTGGTAGTATTTTGATGACCATGTAAGGTGTCAAAAAATATTCGAGATGCTAGTAGTGCAATGTTGTAATAATCACATTATGGCATGGAACAGTACAAGCATGCGATTATATTTCATCAGAATATGGTAGTTTTCTCAAAAGCTGGCAAGATTTATAGAAATTATGGAAACACTGTGGATTTCCTATCTAACAAAATTTGAAGGGAACCAGAAAAGCAGCTTGTTATAACGGAAGTTCGTTATACCTCACAGTTTTTTATTGACTATGGTTCTTCCGAGGGTTCAGTGTTGAGCAGTTTTGCTGGGGTCAGATGTTAAGCTTATTATACTGGAAGTTCATTTAATGGTGCGGGGGTAAGGGGGCTCGTTAGAGTTGGTTCCACTGCCCCATTAAAAAAAGAACAAGAATATTACTGCAAGTTCTATCAGAAGTGTAGTTAACACAGTTTGCGAATTAATAGCAGAATTTCCGGTTTAGAATTTCCAGAAAGTGTAAAACACCGAGTTTGGACATAAAATCACCCTATTCTATACACCAAAGTGTACATAGCTGTGACTATACTTTATTGAGCATTGTTTGACAAACCAGTAAAGCAATGATTTTCTTTTTTATCATGCTAGGACATTTGTAAAATGTAATTTCCAACCATTCATTTATTGTAAACATAAACATAGAAGTGGGCAAGAAAGATGCTTAATTCATGTTTTGCGATCCTGTCTTCTCTATCCTACGTGATACTATTTTTAATAATCCATAAAAACTTCTAGGAAATTAATTTCTTGGTTATTCCAGGAAATGATTGCTTTAGATTGAAAAAGCTTTTATCGTTTTTTATCATGTAGGATGTAAGTGGTATGCCAGGACTCTGCCGTCCTGTTGACGAGGGTGGTGTTGGATTTGATTACAGGCTTGGTATGGCTATACCAGACAACTGGATTAAGCTATTGAAGGAGCAGAAAGATGACAGCTGGAATATGGGCCATATAGTGCATACCCTTACGAATAGGAGACACGGTGAAAAGACTATAGCTTATGCAGAGAGTCATGACCAGGCCTTGGTTGGTGATAAGACACTGGCCTTTTGGCTTATGGATAAAGAAATGTATACAAACATGTCCACTATGACCGAGTTTACGACGATCATCGACCGAGGGATCGCACTGCATAAGATGCTAAGGTGAGCAGTTTGTATTGTCTGTGTTATTGCCATCTTCCAGAACAACGTGTTTAATCGATATCGAAAAGCATAACTACTTTGAGCTTTTGTTCCTCTTGTATTGTGCATCATTAAACTTTTCGACTATGTTGTCGCAAAATAGCTTCCGTTGGGGGTGGGGGGGGACTAGGTAAGGGAATTATAGGTTTTATTTGGCAGACTGACTTCCAAGTTTGATTTCCATTGAAGAAACCCCTTGACAAGGCAATTGGCAAAAAGATATACAATATGAATTGTAGTGTATAAGGAATATCGTCTTTTTAGAGTTTAGTTAAATCGAATATTTCAAATTTCTGTCTTTTTTTTTGTTATTTTCTCATTCCAGTGAATTTCACTGGGATTGAATTTAGAATGAAACATCAACTTTGAGAAACACCAACTCATTCATGTTTTTGCCTTAGATGTTTAAGCTATAGTATGTCGTCAATCTTAATCGAATATGTAAATCCTTTCCTTTTTCTTGCGGCAATGAGGCAACCCCATGAAACTTTTCAAGATGCAACTTTCGGGCACTGCAATTCTAGAAGTGATGTCATAAACAGCAAAGCTAATAAATATTTTGTTGATTTATGTTTTGGTTCTTTGATTTAGATTTTTCCTCGACTTTTTATAGACTGATTACAATGGCGCTTGGTGGAGAAGGCTACCTCAACTTCATGGGAAATGAATTTGGACACCCGGAATGGCTAGATTTCCCAAGGCAGGGAAACGGGGATAGCTATCACCACGCAAGGCGGCAGTGGCATCTGGTGCACGACGAGCTTCTGAGGTATCGTTTCCTCAATGAGTTTGACAAAGATATGCAACATCTTGACAACCGCTATTCGTGGCTCTCGTCTCCACAGGTGAGTACTCATCCTCACAGCTACATATATCAGCTATATAGATCTCAAACAGCTACATAGATCTCTTTGTAGTAAAATTTAAAGGCATTGAGTCATGGTAAATAGGCCTTCTCTATAGAGGATCATTTGATTTCGCAGGGCCTCCGACGAAGGGCAAAACAAATAAGTTTTTTTCAAAATATTTTGTTGTGGGTGTTAAATTTTCCCTTGGCCCCCCTACTTTTCAACCTTTGTCGGAGCCCATGTTTCTGCGTGATGGCTGCTGTTTCATGTGATATTGGCATCCGTTGTTGACAACTTGCTACTGATGGAAACTGTTTTGTTAATCAGTACGAGGTGAGTTCATGTGACCAGCTCAAGGTCAACCAATAGCATCTCAGTCATGAAAATCACGACTCAGCTGATTTTGGCACTTAGGGTATACTCAATCCATTTTATCATGACTCAATTCCTTTAATAGCCTTATTTCGCTGTGCTTTTTAGAACCGTGCTCACAATTTTTGGGAAGCCCTTTTTTGAGAGCTTTAAGAATGATTACAGACTCGCTAAATTTTGTAAGATTTTCCTTGATCCTTTGAAGGTGTTTTTTTAATCAAAATTTCTACCTTTTGCTCTAAGAACTTTCGAAATGTCTTATTTTCATTTGAGCTTTCCTAGTTGGCAGTTAGCCAATCAACATAGACCAATTGTTTGCATTGAGCTCACTTCCATTATTTTTCATTTTAAATCATCTTTCTTATTTAGGCTTACATCAGCAGAAAAGATGAAGGAGACAAGGTGATTACCTTCGAGAGAGGAGGACTTCTCTGGATCTTCAATTTTCATCCAACCAAAAGCTTCACTGATTATCGGGTTGGTACCAATCAACCTGGAAAGTATCCTTTTCCATCACGTTTTTTCTAGAATGATTCGGGCATGTGTACATGAGGTGGGCAGACTCACTGGCGAGGTATGCGGTGAATACCCTTTATGTATAATGGTCCAAAATAATTTTAGTTATAATTATTATTATTACTTTTATTATTATTATTATCGAATATTGATACAGTATAATACTTCAGTAGTGATATGCATATATGCATATTTACACTGTTTCCCCAGTAGTCCTGTTAGAATAAAAACAATAAACAAAATAAGATAAAAAAAAGTTTACCATACAGTTTAGCGTAGCTCCTTGAAATTTATTTCCAAATGCACAAAATTTGCATACGTTTTTGTCTATTCGGTAAAACTTAACATAACAGCATATCCCCGTTTGCCTTAACAATTTTTCAGGTACAAAATCGTATTGAATTCTGACGAATCAAAATACAGCGGTCATAACAGAATAGACCCAAAGTGCGAGTTTTTCACCGAAGATTTTAAACACGACAACAGAGATTATTCTTTACGGGTATGTCCATATATTGTTACTGGAATTTTTTTTAAAGCAGTTGGCGTATAGAAGTATCATTATAAATAACTGGACCCAGGACCACTGAGAGGTTTCGGAGCGAGCAGATTTATGCGACCATGCCCTTCAGATGAGCGTAAAATGCATTTCAGAATATTTCTTACAGTCATTTCTTACAATTGTTGAAAACTTTTTACTTTTTAAGGCATGCTTTTGCTTCGTTTGCGTAATCCAATTGTTAAAATGGAATTCATTACTTTATGAGGTTCCTAGATCTCAAAGCCCTGGGGCAATTTTGCCCCATTGCCCCCCCCCCTCGGCGGCCTTGACTGGACCAACCAAAATGCTTGCAACAATAACTGTGACACAGAGTCATGAAAGGTCACCTAAGGATACCCGAAAGACATAGATTACAATATACCCCCCCTCCTTAACCTGAATGGCCGTTCGCTGGCTTCAAACCGTGATGATAAAATTTTCCTTTTCAAAGATATACCATTAAACAAAAAGGTGCGGATCAATAAAGACAATTTTTCTAAAATGTTTTAATGACACAACTTGTATTCTCTAAGCCAAATTTGTTCTGTCCTGTATTACTTTCTTGTTCTCCACACCCTCCAAATTTTCCAACTTTAGACTCACTTCTTACATGAACCCGAGGGACGTTTTTGAACTAGGGCTTATTTGAGGGTACGAACATATACATGAATTTTACTGCTAAGATAGGAACTAATTCGAGGGGAACTAAGACAACGAAGGGGGCAATTCAAGGTGTTTTCATGTCTACAAAACTCGTATTTTATCGCTTCTAGAGATGCAAATAAGTTTGATTTGGACTGAGTTGAGCCATTTGTTTTCCAGGTCTATATCCCAGCAAGAGTGGCATTGGTGTTAGCTGTTTTTGACTGAAACACTTAGCTGCTTGGCTCCATTTTTTGAGTGAAGCACTTAGCCACTCATATCGCTTCGCTGATGATGCTAGCGCCGACTGAGATTTCCCACAGAACAACTGTGTTGGGTTAGACACGTGATGTTGCGTTGGGTTGTTCGCTTGCCAGGCTTTATGCTTATATGTGTTCTGTTTATGAATAACTTTACCATGACACCCCCCTCCTTTTTACATGTCTGTACTTTATCGGATCAACTATTATGTTATATCCTCCTGTGGCTTAAGCAATTTTTTATCCAAGGAATATAATTAAACTATCCAATTTTTGTCATATTCATGACCTTGAGAACGCAAGTTGGAATTTTACTAGATTTGATAACCATCTTTTGGGATAATCTGACAATCTATGCACAGTATCTTGACAACGATCCCCCAGTGTTCTCAATTCTCAACCGCGTTCCCAAAACTCCTCTTGTTTATGTCTCTTGAGAAAGTATGCTACAGTGTAACTAGAATGTTTAGAAATCTCCTAGGGCTCTTTGCCGGAAAATTGCTTCAACGGTTTCTTTTGATTTTGCCTCTTCAGAACCCTTGCCAATACTTGGCATTGCCTCTTGAACACCCTTGCCAATATTTGGCATTGCCCCTTGAGCACCCTTGCCAAGACTTGGCATTGCCTATTAAGGACCCTTGCCAAGACTTGGCATTGCCCCTAGAGTACCCTTAAGTTTTTTTGCCAAGACTAGTAAGCTTTGCCTACGAATTACATGATCTTGCAGTATATCGCATGCTATTTTGACATCTGGTTGCAAATTCAATCAATGACAGTAAAGAGTAATTAAAACTCATAGAGAACTTAAATTTCTACTTGGCTCATTTTCTGTTCCCTATCGCCACTTGACATTACACATGACTGCAAAAGTAATTAACCAGAACTAGCAAGAGATCGACCCCCTTGGTTACTTATTTACATATGAATTTTTCTTCGGAAGAATTATAATTACATGCATTGTTAAAAAGTAGAAATTTATGATTAATTTACTATTACATTGAGTGAAGGTATTCAAAGTGTGTCTTATGCAACATATTTAAAAAGATTACCCTCGTTTTAACATCACAACCTCATCTTCAAATAATGGACAGGCCCCTTAAACATATTGTTCTCATTCCTAGGACGGAAAGTTTTATATTCAGTGTTTTCAAACGTGAATTTCGATGTTACCATTTTAAATATCCAACTCTCGAAGTTAGTACAAATACATTTGTCAATATATTGGTTTTTATCTTTGATATTGAAGATATTAGAGTCTTAAAAATAGATATAATGAACAAATTTGGAAAGGAAGTATCAAGTATTTGCCTTTTAAATCTTTAGCGTAAAAGACACTCGATTCTTGTCTTTTTTTATCTTGGCTATCGTAACATCTTTAAAGGCCATTCCGTCTTATACCTTTGAATCGCTCATCTTAACGACTTTCTTAACAACGATTTCTTGTCTGCGATTGTTCCAGGTAGAATTATAAAATGTTGCATCCGATGTATTTTTATAGAATATTTCCTACAATGAATAAATTTTTGAATTGTTTTAAATTGATACAGCTGAAGAGAGCTTGATTTATTATGGAGAATCATAACGTTTGTGTGTCTATTTTGTGAGTTTCTTTTTAGTATCAAACATTTCCTCGCGCCATTTTACGGTACATTTGCTCACAATTTGTATAAACCCGTCGCTTCGTTCTAGAATAGTTTCCATCTCAATTTTATTGAATTTGTAAGCCATTCCCCACTCCGATTGCTAATGCATTGACTACGTTAGGTTGTGTCCTTGCAAAGATTTGTGTCGGCCGTCCCTTCCCTCTGACGACCCCACCCTTGATTACGTCACTTGAATAGACACTATTCAGCCCAATCTCGAGATCGCTTTTCTTATCAAACCATAGTTATGTACAAACCAAGCCAACAGCAAATAAAACTAGTTCGCAAGCAAAGAATATCATCTAAAATAATGCTAGATTGGCGTTTTGTCTGAAAAAGTCAGAACACATACAATCATGTTTAGCATGATTAGTCTTTGAAACGCATTTTGACACCCGTCGAACGAGAAACAGCCGATGATGGCCTTCCATGGGGGTGGGGCCCGTGAAGAGCTAAAACGTTTTCCTTATCTATGCTAAGAGAAAGAGCAAGGTGATTCAGCGAATGAACTACTTTGTGAGGATTACTTGTGCTAATGACCTCCAGATCCTTATGCGTTCCCCCAAGATTACATATCACACCCGTTCTTACCCCAATACTCAACATAACGTTTTGGTCTATGATAGTAACCCTAGAAGCGGCATCCAGTAATTCAACTTTGAAAATAATCCTACTAGGCTTAAGATTATATTCATTTCAAAAGGGATTGACAAGACCCTAACAAAAGAAAATTAACGATTAATTTTGATATGATTGTTCATATTCTCAAGATTGTCTTGACTCTTTCTGGTTATGTGGAATAATTGATTATGCATCTCTCTCATACACTACTTTTAGGCCCTTTTTATACGCAAAAGCAATGAGAAAATGCCAAAAAAGATGATATGTGTAAAATAGCGTGTTCCCTTCTTCTTTTTGCTTTGACTTCCCTCGGAAACCCCAATGAGTTGAGACGGGAAATGGTAGCAGAACCCTTCCCTCCCGCAATCCTTACCCTCCCTCGTAAGCAGTCTCTGGTGCACACTCAATTTTTATGAGGCTCGTTGACACCCTTTCCGTTCGCTATAGCTTTCTCCACAGTAATTTCTCTTGTGGGCACATTTTTTATTAGCTGGCGGTAGAAAAGGTAGTGTTTACTCGAAAAATCAACATAAATCAATAAAGATATTGTGAATTTATTTGAATTATGGAGGTGAGCGTTGAAGACTACCTTGCCGAGGCGGTTGCTGCAAGGAGTGCATCAGACCAGGCAGACATTACCTCAACAGGAATGAGTGACCAGGCTGAGAAAACCGTCGAGGATTACTTGAAAGAGTTTGAAAATGAACAAAAAGAGCCACAGAAGGGCCCTGAAGTTGATAACAAAGAGGATGAAGACATGACAGTGGAAGCATTCTTAGATAAAATGAAAGCACAGCAAGATACTGACGAGGGCCTAAATCCTGATGGTGGAGGTGATATTGCTATCGAGGACTATCTGAAGCAAATGGAGGCAGAATGCGGAAAAGCGGAAACCCTTGATAAAAATGACAATGATAAAGAGAAGTAAGTTTTGAATAACAAGCAAATTGTGGTCAAAGTAAATGAAATAGCGAGTCAATACGCGTTTAACCTTAGCTTTGGGTGATTATCTGCAGCATTATAAGACAGCGCCCATTTCAGCTTCCCTGTTCTATAAATTTATTTACACAGGCGTTTCTATGAGTTTAGGGAAATGCCAAGCGTTTTGGGACAGACAGGGGATCATACATATACTGCACACGTGGTTGTGTTTGCGTCTTTAAACACCATGCATCTGGGAATTGTCTGTACTGGTTATTAATTATTGATAATGAAAACAAGGAAGTCATCAGAAAAGATTCATAATATCATCGTAGGAGATTTCCCAGGGTTTCAGACAAGTCTTTTAAATCAACTAAACGCTGCTACAGAGAACTGGAATCAGCTTGCTAGCTTAAGCAACTTGGATCAGCTTGCTTGCTTAAGCAACTATGTTACAGACATACTTCTTATGTTGGTTTTTCCCCAGCCCTATGTAAACTTATTTTGGTATTAAGTTGTTAAAGGGTTCTTTTGGTTAAAATTGCTGTTAAAATAAATTGATAAAAAGTTTTATACATTTAAAAGATGTTTGGTTTCATGCTATGATTATCAAACAGTTTAAAGAAAATTAACCTTATAGGATTTATATAATGTACTTATTATTTTGATCCTGGTAGTCAGAAAATAACTTCAAATTCAATTCATTTTGTATCAAATTCAATTTATTTTCCCAAAGACTGAACATGGAATGTCTAGTAATATAAAGGAGGTTCATTATGACCTGTTGGGTCAATTTTTTTAGAAAGTGCTAAAACAGCTTTGCAGTTTGTCCATCCAGAAAGAATGGCACATTTCTCAAACATTCCATTATTTCCCTTTTTCTATGATACAGAGCATGATTTTTCAGAGAGGGTATGAAAACACAATTAGCAACGACCACCAAACGTAGTGATAGTTCAAAGGGGCTTAGATCCTCACCTCTTGAGGAATATTTCATATTGTCTTTAAGAATTTTTTTATTCTTGTCCTATAATTTTGCATTGAGCAAAACACAAAGAAGCTAGCAAGGAAATATGCAACTGCAAACCATGTCATGGTAAAAAATCATCGATTTAAATGCAGCTCCTTTAGCTCAATGACTTTATTGGACGGTGACATCACTAATTTCATGCAAGCAAGCTGTGCCTTAGAGACTCATTGCTAACAATGAGCCTTTGCAAGGGTGGCAAATTATCCAGGCGACAATCCAAAAAATGGCAGTAAACTTCTACGGATTAACCATAATTGATTTCAGACTGTCTAAAATGCATTATGGATGCTTGCGTAGCGCAATGGCTCATTGTTAGCAATGAGTCTCCAATGCTAATTCTACATTCTGAACTCTAATCTGACAAAGACATTTGTGTCGCTTTTTCTTTATTTGAGCAGGGATCAAATGCTTACTAATGTAGATATTGAAATTTTTTTTAGTTCACCCCTGAAAAATTTTCATGGCATGCAATAAAATTTGCAAACACAAAAATTTATATAGTCTGATAAAAATGTTTTCAAAATATCTTTACCCAGTGTATCTATTGCAATATTTTCTTCCCTTATCAAATTTAGAAGCCTTGTTGAAAATTTGTTGCAATCCAATTTGTCTTTATAATTTTTTCCTCAACTAAACTTTCACTAGACTGATCATTCAGGGTATAACTTGCCCTAAACTGTCTTCCAAAACCTCTCAGCGAGCTTACAGATCTTCTCTGAATTGCTATCTCACTCATTCTTTGTTTGAAAGTCACTTCTCTGCCAAACTTCCTTTAATTTGGCTGCACCTCTCACTTCACCTTTTTTTCTATTTTTGCATTCACATATCAGCACATGCTTAAAAAATGCTTTATTTGTTTCTAGATTTATCACACTCTAGAAATATCTTAAAATAGTACATACTTAAACATTGATACTTAATTTTTCTTTCTTGCAGCCTTTTGTTTATGCACAAGGACACTATTTTCAAAGCATATCATGCCACTCCTGTGATTTTCTAAGGCTTAGATCATAACTCCAAGCCAATGTACTTTGGAGAACCCAGATCTTCCAAATCTATTATCCAGATGGAAGGACCCATTATAAGAACATTTTTGTGTTTATTTAATTATATTTCATCAAAAGATTCTCTCAAAGTTGCAAAGTTTCTGAAATTTTGTAACAGACTGGTTGCACAAAGGCGACTACATCATCTCTCCATAGCCACCTTATTTTTTATCTGTGTCTTACCTATGTGCTTTAATGTTTCTTTCTACTGTGCTCCTTGCTACCATTTTTATCTCATTCACCATGTTGTTACCATATTATGTTTTTGCTTTGCCCTTTTTCTCTTCCTTGCACATATGTTTTCTGTTTCTCTCAGTTTTGCCTGGCTATCCTTCTGTATTTCTTATAGATACAGGCCAAGGCAGCCCCTATATACCTTGATTTCTCTGGAATTTCTTTTGAAGAGGGCGAACATCTTTGACTTGCTTTTTATTGGTTGGGTAGCGATAAAGTATGGATTCTGAAAATGGGCATTGTGCCAGCGGTGCAAGTGGGGAGGTTGGTCCCTTGGTAGCTGGTTTGCCTTCGGTCTTGAGTTGCATTTTCCAATGGTTTGGTTATGAAAGCAAGCAGGTTATATTAACAAACTCTGCTGATCGTTAAGGCCTCCTCAGTTTTTCATGTTTCTTTATCACCTCAATGAACCTAAGCATCTTTGGCTGAGCAGTTTAGCTACCTTTTGTCCCATTTATAGAATTAAAGTTCTTTCTATTCTCTGATGAAAGAGGAACATGGAATGCTAAACTGAAAACTCAATGGCGAATTACAAACTATTCAAATGCTGTGTTGCCCATCCATTTTGCTTTACTCTTATATCCTTTTTAGGCACCTCTCTGAAATATTTGCAAACCAATAGATTCTAGTTACATTGATGTAGGTAGTAATACATCTAAGATTGAGGACAAATAGCAAATCTTTATAAGACAAACAATAATGAAAACTTTACTGGTTTTCTGAAACCTGTGAAACTGGCCTAGATTTACACCTGCTGACATATGCTTTGTATAACCTACATGTTATTTGTTTCTTCTATTTTAAGTGCTCAATTTTGTATGCACTCCGTAAATATTGCTCTAAATTTTCGTATGTTATGAAAAAGAGTAATAAATGAGTTTTAGCATTTTATGAAATCTAATTTAATTTTTTAAGAGAAAACCACGAGCATGAAGGAGGGTCAGACAAACACAAGAAAAGAGTTTTGAGAATTTCGAGAGCAAAAAAGGAGCAAGCGGATCACGAAAAAGAAAGTCAACATAAGAAAGAGCATGAGAAAGTCGACCAAGAAGGAGCTAAAGGTCATAGCCCTAGACGCCAAAGAAGGGTAAGACATGCAGAAGAAGAAAAGCAGGAGACAGTTAAAGTCCCAAAGGAAGAAAAGCAGGGAGGAAGCCCCAAGGGTAAACGAAGGGTTGGTCCCCACGGGCATGATGCCCCTAGGGCTGTAGGAAAGGAAGAAAAGCCAAAAGTTGATGCTCCAAAGCCGAAAATTGAGTCTTCTGCTAGAGCAAGAAGACAGTCAGCTTCAAAGAAACACGAGGAAAAACCACGTGATGGACACAGTGATCACGTGCAAACAAAGGCAGGGGAAAGGCATGGAACAGGTAGGGACAGGAAAGCCTCTCATGGCCACGATGAAGCGCATGGGCGAACTAGAGATAGGGCTGGCTCACATGGAAAAGAGGAGAAGAGTGCACAAGGAAGGGACAGGAAAGGCTCCCATGGTCGCGATGATGCACATGATCTGGCTAGAGACAGAAAGGGCTCACATGGCAAAGGAGATACACACAGAGATAAGAAAGTTGTCCATGGAAGTGCTACTACCCATTCAGAAAAGAAGGCGTCATTTGCCTCAAAGGGAAGAGCTGCAACCGTTGCTGCGACATCAGCTGACGAGAAAAGAAAGGAATTTAACAAGCAAAGGGCTGCTTCGACCACCACTGAAACCCATGTTTCCAAACCCAGGTTTGTGTAGCTTTTTATTGTTTCTCTAATTATTGCCTTTCTTGTAACTTTTTCCAGTGAATGGCATTGATTTGAAGGGTTTTTACCCTAAAACTAAAAAGCTCCCAAAAATTATAGACGCTCATTTAGCAGAATACTTCTTGCTCTAGTTCGAAATTACAAAGCATTGTTTACCTATTTATCGGAGCTGATAACTTGTTGAATTCTAAACTGCTGTGCTTGTTTTTACGCGCTTGTGTTTTCTGTGTGTTTTTAAGGGGGAGGGTTCTTCAAAAATAGTATCTGTTTGTATGCCTGTGAAAATGTTTAGCAATGTGAACCACCTCTGAGTTGAATTGGATACATTCCCACAGTCCACCTGACAATCTCCCACCGCAGAGGCTTGATGAAATGAAACAGAAAGTCAACTACGTAAGTTTTTGTCCAACCAGTAATGTTTATGTTCATCACCGCCATCGATGTCCATGTGTGGATCTCCTGGTTCTGTTCAAGATGATGTAATATAAGTCATGCCAACTCCCTACAAATGGCTGCCAAGCCAAACCCTTTCATTGTCGCATTTGATTTGTTTCTCAGGCTTTCTCTCGATCTTACTACCTATCTGGCATTAAATATGTTGTTTCGTAATAAACATCAGCTCCTGCATCAGATTGCCTTACAATTTCCTCACCATACAATTTCTCAAATTTCCCGTCAAGAAATTTCTATGGCAAATGTCGAGGGTATGGGAAATGCTAACATATCTTCTATGACATTTTAGGTGATCATTATGATGATGACGATGGTGATGATAAAGTTAATACTAGTAATAATGCAATAAAAATTTGAGGAGTCTCTGCGAACTCCGATTGGAGTTATTCGAGCCTCCTCATAGCATCGAGGTCACTGTGCTGGGTACAGTTTATTATGTTCTGATATGTGATAGCTATCTTCAGGTCACATGATTCAACCCGCTTTTCAATGAACAATAGGTTTCTAAGGTATATAATACCCCGCCTAGAGAGCATCACCTTTTATCGTTGTTGACAACTGAGATGAATTGGAAAATGAAAGACTTCTACTTACGTGTCTATATAGTGGTATAAGTGTGTCTCTATTTTGCGAATAAAACGGTAAAAGAGCTAGCTGAAATATTCCATACACCTCTATTTCTTCCACAGGGTTTCCCATAAAATAGTAAGTAGGTTTTTGTGCAGTGTATAACTATCATAAGATTCGAACGCGCACGATTTGCAACAATATATTACAGTTAATATTTAAAACGGCAAAGTTTTCATACTTTTTGAAATTTTCAAGCTACAAGTAATTTTGGACGATAAAATTTTTAATGTCCAAGATTTATCGGGATGTAATTTCATTAATACTAGTAATTTGGATGACTATGTATAAAAAGTGTTAAATATAAGGAGTTATGGGAAGATTATGTCACATTTAAGGGATCCTTGCGAAAGTGGTATTGCTTTCCATCATGGAGAGAAAAAATATGTAATAATTTAAACACTGCTTAACGTCATGTTTAGTGCATCGAAACGACAAAAAGAAGTGAATTTTATTATGACATCGTAAGATGACACCATGCTGCCATAGTCCTGTCGAATGTTGACTTGATACAAGTCCCTCTCTCTCTAAATATATATTTCTCTATTTATTTTCTCTCTCTCTATTTGTCTATTTACTTATTTTATTGAGAGATAGACTTGCAGCAAGCCCATGTCGTATGTGGGGTGCTGTATAAAATAATCTGTTGTTTCCAGTAAAACTGTTCCACGTTTTATGAATTTTCACTCAGCCAGCAAAAGGACCGGTAACCGAAAAGACGTCATTGGGCGTATGAATTGGCCATGGAAGATTATATAAAGTAAAATGAAACCTGGTTTCGACACTCCACCTTAGTGTTGGCATGGTGACAGCAAAGCTCTCTGTTTAGAGTTAATGCGAACCCTTCTGTTCTTTTGAACTCCAAAACAAAGAGACTTGTTTCCTGTGCTTAAAATCTTTTACTGTTGATATTAAAACACAATACGAGCGCTAATCGTTTAAGAATGATATGAGTAAATTTTCCTGACACATTCTGTTTCAAGTAAAAGACTGGACGTGCAGTTGATCAACGCATTTTCAGTGGTTGATGTGTTGTTGAAAGGAACATAGTTGAACGGTTAGTTAGTGGAAAAGAATATAAGGTAAAATGATAGATGTATTGGAGGTTAAGTACATCTTTTTGCCTTATGTTTATACCTCGACTTCTTTCACAACTTTTCCGATATTGAACAGTTAGTTTGTATTCACTTTTTAGCCATGAACAAGTGATTCAATTATCTGTCCGTTGAACAAAACTTTATGATCAAGTTAATTTAATACAGTTGTTTTACTATGCTCTTCGGTGGTTATGTCATTTATGAATTTAATCTAAATGATTGAATTGATGGATCTCTTTTAGGGTGGATTTTTTTTGCTCTTAATTACCTGCATGAAACATCTTGTTTCCATGCTCATTGTAGTACTGAAAAAGTTTCTGTATCTTTACGGTCGCATAGTTCCTGTTTTCTACCGTTTCCTTTGTCAAACCAGTACATTTCTAAGAATTTAAAACGTCAGTCCATCATTTATATTCTCGAGCTTGAGAAAATATAAAGAATTGTATTTGGCTTGTTTCTGTTATCATTTTTTAAATTACTCTGTAGGTAATTTTTTACGATTGTCTTTCCCAAGACTTTAGACTTTAGAGGCCAATGGTATTTTGTTCTAAAACAATGGGAAATGTGACGTCATTTTATTTAAACTGGAATGATATCCCTAACAACATTCGAGAAAAAAAATCCATCTCTCGTTTTAAAACTGGTTTTAGAGGGTATCATTCGAACCTTTCACAGGACCCAAACACGACCCCTTGGTAGAGCAGCAATTCACATTATTTTATTTTATTTATATATTTTTTTCTCTTTTATTATTGTTAAACAAATATTGTAAATAGGTCTTTTTTGCTGAAAGGTGTAAAGTAAAAATTATTATTATTGAAACAATTTTTTTAAACCCCAATGTTTGACCAAGTGTTCGCCCCTGCTTTTGAATCAAGACAGAATTCATTGCGATGTGCAACGGTTGTTTAGCAAACAGAGTCATTTTAACGGAGCATCTTTTTGAACCACTATTATTGGACCTCGCTCTTAAAAAAAGATACATCATCAATCTTTAATTATCAATTTCTAGATCTGCGTCAAATCGGGAACCTACCGCGGCAGGTCACGAGGGCCAAACGCGCAAATCTGCAACACTACCTCGTGGAAGTGTAAAAAAGCAACCGAGCGGGGAAATGGAAGAGGAACAGCCAAAACTGACACCAGCTCAAATTAGAGCGAGGTTCGAGGCAAAGAAGCATGATGGGGATCGCCATAGGCCCCAAGGAGGTCCTGGTAGGGTCAACAAAGGAGAGTCCACAGGTAATAGAGCTTCTTAACCGTTTTGCCTAAAATAGCACTATTGTTCTCTGGAAGTGACATCTTTTGCCTATCGAACCTATTTTGTGCACAACATAAAAGAATTACTAAAAACTCTCTATAGCAAAGTCTGGACAAACCCTCTTAAAAGTATTTGAAGTATTCTTGGGAAACATTTGGTTTCAGGTAAAGGTAAAAGTTTTTGAAGTTTAGAAACAGAAGTTATTACTCTACATTTCAACATAGTCTCTTTCAATAGACTATGATTTCAATCTATTTAAGCTACCTTCATTTGATGTGTTTTGATGTGATTATGTGTTTTAAATTCTTTAGGGGCTGCGCGTGCAAGATTTGAAAAGTCAGCCTCTGCAACCAGTCACAAAGTAGAGCGATCCCATCATGCCCCATCTCACAAAGAAGAACGTAGTCAGCCCCGTATTTTCCGCAGAGAAGAGAGGCACCACCGCCCTACTCCCGGTGCAGAGAGAGAAGAAAAACCGGAAGTCGATGGAGCTGAAAACGAGGCATCTCCAACAGCGGCCAGCATAAGGTCCAAATTTGAGGCAATATCCAAAAGCAATACACCAGTTAAAAGAAAGGTACGTGTTTTCAATTTAAAGAGCTGTAGAAGATATAATGTGTTCTGCCCAGCTTAAGTCTGCTAAAGCTCAGGGTAGAAATTGGGCGTGGTAAGATAGAGTTCTTCTTGCTGTTCTTGCATCCACTGCTGGAAGGATCATAACCACAAGTATCAATGCCTCCGATACAGAGCTTACAATCCAAGCCGACGAAATTTTTTTTGGAGGAGGGGGGAGGGGGGGTGGTTGTTGGGTATGCGCGTGTATTTTGCTGGTGTCGCGGTGGGGTTTATAACTTCTTAGTTCAGTAGAAAAGCTAACAGATGCGGAAAATCTGGATGGTGACTTTCCTTTTGTGAGTTTTTAAATCTATTTGTCTCTAGAACCTTACATTTAATGTATGTTTAATTTTGCGATAAAAAGGTAGGACGGGCTTTATGACCCATGCTTTCAGAATTTCTTACGAACGCTTCAACACATCGACCATCGTATGAATTCAATGCAAAAGCAAAATTTGCTTCTCTTGGAGTGCGGCTAGGCAGACATTGTACCCAACGAATTAATATTAGCTTATTCCTTTTGGTCTTCGAAACCAACAATGCTACTTCAGAGCTGCTATGCGAAAGTGTTTTTTTTGGGGGGGGTTTAGGGTACACATATCACCTTTTTATTCATCATATTTTGCTCAGCCGTGCCTGATGTATACGGATACAGTAATATCTCATCCGATAGAACTGAACTTTAGGAATCTAAATATTCCTAAGATTACAGAGAATGCCATAACACCGAATTTCGCATTCTGCAGATCAGTTTACTAAATTTCTGTATCAACATCCATATGGAACACAAACATTTGTCATCCGGTTAATGGATTGCGTGTCTTTTCTCCAACTCACACCCAACTCTTGTAAGATTTGTTTGCTACTTTGAAGTTGTTTGGATGTATTCCCGTATTGAAGCTTTTTGTCATGCCTTGGGCTTTTTGTGATGACGGTAGCCCAAAAGCTTCTATATTTCCCTGATATTGGAAAGATGCAGTGTCTGCTTTTATCGACCTATTTTCCAAGCCAGTCAACGAATGTTTGCATGAGTACCGGTGATATTTGGTTGATTTTTGGGGGCTTTCGGAAATGAATTGAGTGGAAATGAAGATATTACTTTTTTTCGTCTTTAGCATGCAAGTTAGATAGCAACTTCTTGCAGGCGACCTACAGTAGCCGCATTTTTTCACTTGATAAACTGTTTTCGAAATCATCTGTTGTATGCTTCAGGCAAGAACGCTCTTGTAAGGCTTAACATTCATTAGAATGCGCTGTGGATTGCTTACGCGACTGGTTACAATACAGTCTGTCTATACTTTCACAAAATACACATTCACGCACCTGCTCTCGAAAATAATATGAATCAAAACCCTGTCATTGAGATCCTTGCGAGTGCATTGTTGAAGTAGAACCAAAAACTGTGCAAAAACACAGATTCGTGGACTGAACTATAATGAGGCTTTTTGGGTCCCGTTTATCTTAGCTACTTCTCTATTCTCTTTTGTACGATATTAATTACCATAGTTTTCCTTTCAACCATTATTCTTGAGGATACTCCAACTGCAGATACTCAAAACAAGGACACTTTTAATCCTGCAAGTTGAAACTGAAGACTGAAAGGTATAAACGACTATTACCAGTCTGTATACAGAAAAAATGCCTAGAAATTATTCGCTGGTTACTTTCAGCTGTGATACAACATCGTTTTGTGATACAACACAGCCTAGCTTTTGTTTTTCTAAAACGCTCAACTTGAAGCGAATGTTAATCAAATTAGGATTTTTGTGTCTCTCATTTGCATGTTAATTCGTACTTTTAAGCTTAAGCCTGACCTGTTTAATTTCATTGAGTACAGTATGATGACGACTAGTGCACCCTTATAAACTATTTAATTTTCACCGTTTTGATCAAATGCGACTTCGAAATTTTTCACCGAGTGAATTTCAGATTCGGGGGTCATGTAGTGACTGCTTGGCCTTCTTTACCGTCGTAATTCATAATATCTTTATCAAAATATCTGAATTCCTTGTCCTCTGGTCCGGTTTTTCGACTAGGCAGATAAGCCTCTGTTCAGTGTAATACAGGTGCTTTAGTTGTTTCTTAAGTTGGTCCTGGTGCTCGGTTCCTTTAAAAGCGGGCTACTTATATTTTGCATGTTTGCTTAGTATTTCGTGCACGACATGTTAAATTTAGCAGTTTAACATTGAAGACGATCAAATTCTTGCTGAGCTACGGGCAGGGTCAAAAAGCATAACAGTTGCCTGCTGTTGTTGTGGCTCCTCGTGTTTACTGGTCTGTTTGTAGCCAGCTCTCTTTGTTGCATTTGAACAAGATTTCAGAGGAAGCAGGACTGATTTCACCTTAGCTTGGTTTGGTTGAGCGTTAAGCATGGATGTAAGTACCAAATATCTGGTTTTTATGAAACTCAGATTTCGTAACCTATTTCGTTGCAAGATTTCTCTGGATTTGCGTGCAGATTTTCTTTGGCTTATTGCGCCGTAAGGTTTAAAACGCAAAGCTTTTACCATACTTTGGTTACGGCTGTGCACGGCAAATTGAAGTATTTGTCAGAACTCATCCCAATTTTGTCATCGCAACAAGCTAACGTTTCTTAGATTCCTGATTCCATATTAGATTCCATAACGTAACTTAGATTCCTGAGGCCTCCATACTAAATTAAAAGATATTTACACTGAAACATTTTTGCCAATTGTTTGTAAGAATAATTTGATTATGATTTTGTAGGTTTCTTATTAAACGTTGAAGGTTGAAGAATGTTTTCTACTACGCTTTGAAATGCATTGTTTTGATTTTATTCGCCAAAGGAGCAAAACGATGTTTTTGTGTCACCCTGTGCGGCAATGTGACAGATTTCACGAAAACTGGTCCAAGTGATTTTTTGAAGTGAGAAAATTCCCACAAATGCTGATTATTTAAGTTACATTCTCTAAGGTTTTTTCTATCGTATCAAGTAAATGTAAAGTCATCGCCCCTTCGATAATTTCATCTTCCTTCTGATGAACCAGCGGACTATTGATATTCGTTTTACTGCCATCAGGCTGTCTTGACAATTTGCACCAAATGGTGCCGTTCGTGTTTTCCGCCTTAGTTAGAATTCAATTTGTTAGAATATTGTCCATTTGTTATCTTATCAATTTGTTAGAATATTTTCCATGTTGGATTTATTTATTCTGTAAACACTTGAATTTTCTGAAATACTTCTCAATTCAGATGATGATTATGTTTTATTATTTAGTTTTATATTATATTTTATTATATTATATTATATTATATTATATTATATTATATTATATTATATTATATTATATTATATTATATTATATTATATTTTATTATATTATATTTTATTTTATTTTATTTTGTTATATTAAATTGCATTTATCCTCAACTCAAATTGTGTTTACGACACAAACTTTTTACTAAACCACAAAACGACCTCGACGGTAACAATACACCAGAATACAAAAGGTTCCCTCGTGGGACCAGTAGTTGAGCAAGTGGCAGGTTTATACAAGTCCTTTCATTCGGTCTCTTTTCATGTTTTTTCCAACTGTATAGTATATCAATGCCTCATTTGCATAGAAATAATCTCCAATTTTGCAGCCAAGAACGAGGGTTTTACTTCAACAAGCTTTCTGGCGAGCTCCATTGGGTCTTTTGTTGTGGTTCCGTTGCGTTTGTTGTGTTGTGTAGTGTTGTGTTGCGTTGTGTAGTGTTGTGTTGCGTTGTGTTGTGTTGTGTTTCGTTGTGTTATGTTGTGTTATGTTGTCTTGGGTTTGGTTGTTTTGTGATGTGTAGTTGTGTTTTGTGGTATTAAATGTATTTGAGCTGCTGCTAGTTTTGAGAAGAATTTTCAACGTTCTCTTCCTTCAGAATCAGTTGTGATAATCATCAAATTACCCTTTCTTTTCAGTCATTTGATAACTGTTTGACACCTTTTATTGTTCCAACTTGCCTGTCGCTATATTTGGTACTGACACGGTCTTGGTCTTAGAAGCTTAGAAATGGGACAGGGTCAAAAAAATGCCCTTGCAGGGATAATAGATATTAAAATTTTATTTTTGCTACTCTTTTCGCAAATTATACAACAGTAAGATTTATAGGATCGTCAAGAAGAGCCTGGTCTAGCGCCCAGCAAACATACGAGAGTAGGCAGCCTTATAAGAGGTGAAATGTTTAGGGACTAGGGTCCTATTTTATCATAAGATAGGAGGTTTTGAAAAGTGTCATCTTGTTTTAAAGTGTTTGTTATGTACTGCTGCTAGGTCATTTCATGAATATTTAACTCTCGTACACGCATGATAGCGCGTAGGTGATGTACTTGGAAACCAAACCTGCTGCATTTTAAACCTTGGCTAGCTTTAAGTCTTGCTTTGCGTTGACCACATCTTTTTCTAGGCTTGGTAGTCCATTTCATTCTGTTACCGCAATCACCAATCGTTATCATCAATCATAAATCATCATGACCAATCATTATCATCAAACATCTTCATCGTAATGGCCATAGCATCGTTGTCACCATAATCAGTCACCGAATACTCTTAGTCATTCCCTATCATTCCTTGTTATTTCCAATCGCTCCTTGTTATTTCCAATTAATCATAGGATTCTCACCCCCATTCACTCATAGGATTACCAATCACTCCCAGTCATTTCCAATCGTTCCTAGGATCCCCAATCACTCCTAGTTATTCCCAATCACTCCTAGTCTTTCCCAATCGCCCCCAGTCATTCCCAATCACTCTCTAGTCATTCCCCATCACTCTTAGGCATCCCCAATCATTCCTTGTCATTACCAATCATCCCTTGAATTCCAAAACACTCATACTCCTTCCCAAACACTCCTAGTCATTCCCAATCACTCCTAGTTATTCCCAATCACTCCTAGTCATTCCCCATCACTCCTAGTCATTCCCCATCACTTCTAGTCATTCCCCCATCACTCTTAGGCATCCCCAA